AATGGGAATCTGTTAGTTCAAAAATGGCCAAATCACTCAATTATGGACAATGAGAATAACAATCTGTTGAAGAATTCTGAGACATTTTCCTCTGTACTTGAGGGTAACAAGCAATCTCTTCTTCCCACTGCTAAAGAACGAGAAAACATGAGGTCTGTCCATCATCTTGCAAGCATGGTAGTAACCTGTCTCAGGATCAGGTACGCACAGTGAGCAGCCAAACAACCTTTGATAGAATGTTTGCCTTTTGATGGCCATTACTAAACAGCTGGGTGACTATATCGACTTTCTTCAGGTAAGGAAATAAGCTTCAGTGTGTTTGATTTGAGCATGCAAATGAATGCATATTAATGGCTACTCTTGCCATTTACACCTGATTCCCCATTCCCAGTTGCATTCAGAAATTGTGTATGTCAACATAACAGTTGTGCCCAAAAAAGATCCTGTCTGAAACAGAACCCATTTGCTCTCTCAAAGGATATCAGTGTTTAAACTACCCAAGTTTCAAACGCCAAAGTTATTCTTTCATTTTTCTTTGGGTCCTGCTGCATCAGCAGGTCATGACCTTTCACCCATCCACATAGTCTTTTTTGGGGTTTCACCACCTTGGGTCAGATTTTTTTTTTCATATGTTCATCATTTATTGAGCATGCAGCATGACGATGGTTCTAGACAGTGGGAATAGAGCAACAAGCAGACACTTGCATTGTTCCAGAAGATCCAAATGATTAACAAATGAGTACAAAAATATTTAATACCATAAACAGAAATCCTCCTGAAGATGACATCTGATCAGAATACTGAAAAACCACCAAGCCATCCATTCCAAATTGAACAATGTTACTTTTTTTAAAAAGACTTATTTATTTTATTGGAAAGTCAGATATACAGAGAGGAGGAGAGAGAGAGAGGAAGATCTGTCCGATGGTTCACTCCCCAAGTGGCCACAACAGCTGGAGCTAAGCCAATCCGAAGTCAGGAGCCAGGAGCTCTTCTTGGTCTCCGATGCGGGTGCAGGATCCCAAGGCTTTGGGCCATCCTTGACTACTTTCTAAGGCCACAAACAGGGCTGCTGGGATTTGAACCAGTGCCCATATGGGATCCCGGTGTGTTGAAAGGAAGGACTTTAGTCGCTAGCCCACAGCACTGAGCCCTAAACAACCAACATTGGTTCTGAATCCAGTATTTGTGGAAGTGTAGAACAATGGTTCTGCAAGTATTTTTTTAATGGAAAAATGGGAATGGTAAATTTTTATGGGCTGGACTGTGATAATTCAATACACAATGTATAATGATCAATTCAAGGTAATTAACAATTCCACTGCCTTAAACATTTACCATTTTTGTAATAAGGACCTTTGAACTCTCTTCCCAGTGCTTTATAAAATATGTAGTTGTTGAAAACAAGTTACCCTAATGTGATGTTAAAACAGCTTATTCCTCTCCACTGAGTCAGATAACTACAATCACAGCTACAGTATCACACACAGCCTATCTAAGGATCTGCTTATTCCTTTGCAAAACAGGCTGAGCTGCATAAACTTTTGGTAGGAGTAACAAAGTACGTGAGGAGCCATGAGTATGTTGATCTTAACTCAAAACTGATATTCTGTTCCTTCTGCACATTATTAAGGTTGTATCTGCTCTTAAAGATACAGTTCTAACAGCGGCCACAGCATGAAACTGCTCTACTCCCTTCTTGTATAGGGCACCTAGAGTTCCCACACACTGTCCCTGAGGTCCCAGTCCCTTTGCTCTGTCCTAGAACCCTTTAGACATGTGAGAATGAGCTTTGCTCTGTATTCATCCTAGATTCTCTCAGAACCTACATGTTTTATGAAAAAGATTCAGGAAGTTGTTTTCCTGCCCCCTTATGCATGAATTTTAAGCACAAATGATACTTAATGCCATTTTTATGGCAAGAACTGGGACTTAATTTAGCATGCCTTTTGAACACTCTTCCAGATTGCAAGGGAGGAAGTCGGCGAGCTAATTAAAACAAGTAAAAGCCCAACCCCAACACTCCCTCTTAGGTTCTGTCAGATGGTAATAATTATTCCGTGTTTATTCACAGGTAGTTTCACTTTCCGGCTAGTTTTCACTCTGCTATTTCTGAACATTTCAAACCAACTGCTAAGACTAAATCCTTAAGTAGAATCCACTCAATTTTCATAGTACCTTCTTTTCTGAATTCAACACTGAAGAAAGTTCAAGGGCACAAAGCTGTCTTCTCTCCTCTTCTTTATTCTGCCAACTGAGAAAACAGAATCTACCAGAATCTATGAGGAATGCAGAGGGCTCAGGTGCAACACCAGTGTCCAGATGACACCACACACTGGGAAGCACAGTTGCAGCTTTTAATGAATTCTTTCACACCCTTCAATTCATATTGCCAGAAAATAGGCAATAATAGTAATTTAAAGTGACCCAGTGCTGGAAAGTGGGGCACACACATGAAGAGACCTGAACCAGGGCCTGGTGCAGCGGCCTTGCAGCTAAAGTCCTCGCTTTGCACGTATAAAGATCCCATATAAGTGCCAGTTCTAATCCTGGTGGTCCTGTTTCCCATCCAGCTCCCTGCTTGTGGCCTGGGAAAGTAGCTGAGGATGGCCTAAAGCCTTGGGACCATGCATCCATGTGGGAGACCTGGAAGAGGCTCCTGGTTCTGGCTTCAGATCGGCATAGTTTCAACTGTTGCCACTGCTTGGGGAGAGAATCAATGGATCTTCCTGTCTGTCTCTTCTCCTCTCTATATATCTGACTTTCTAATAAAAAAAATTTAAAAATAAAATTAAAAAAAAAAACAGTCTTGACATGAACCTCTAGGAGCAACCCACCAGCACCAATACATACATGGTAGGGAAAAGGCACATCATAGAAGACCTCCAGTTGTCAGCTCAGTCCTCCTTATAATGTCATGCCAGAAAGCATTTGTCACAGACGGAGGTTTCTCTGTCCCTGAAACACGGTCCTGAATTGGCTTCTAGGGCATACGTGTCTTGCTTCTCCTCTCACTTCACTGCTACTTCTGCAGCTCTGACCTTCAATGCTGACGCAACCCATGCATTGTTGTTCTGTGGACATCTTCCACATTGTTATAGTTAAAACCCAGGTGCTAGGCTCCCGATTCTCGGCTAAAGTCCCCTCTGCAGGCCAATGGTTCTACATTTCTCTATGCAGCCTAAGCCTTGGCTACAGACTTGCACAGCTAGCCAAATTCCCAACAATGGTCCTACTTTAGCCTTGCCATGTTGATAAACCAGACTTCTCAACTGTGCACAAACGTGCTATACTACAATCTTCCCCATTTCTGAAAATGGTGACTCTACTTTCTCAGAGTCATCTTTAATTTCTTCTATTCTCTCTGCCACATAAAACATATCACTGAATTCGACCAGCTTCACCATCAAGACAGACAGACACACACGTCTTCCTGCTCCTTGCTACCTCCCTGGTTCCTACTCTTTGAAAGCAGCATCATCTTTTGCCTGGATAATTCCAACATTCTCCAAACTGGTCTCTCTGCTTATCACCTTTGCCCTTTTGCAATCTGTCATTCACACAACTATTTACCTCCTGTGTTCAGAGTCCTTCAGAGTTTTCCTATCCCACTCAGAGCAAAAGCCAAAATATCACGGCCTGCTGACCAACGCCTGTGTACAGTCCTCACGATCCTACAATCCCCCTCACTCCACTCCAACCAGAGTCATCACAGTCATCTCTTGAACATGGCCAATAATCTCCTGCCTCAAGATGAGGGCACTTGCAGTTCCCCAGGCCTCTGACACTTTCCCTTCATGTGTATGTATGGTCTGCACCTCCATTTCCACAGATTTTACCTCTAAAGTCCGAGAGGCTTTCTCTGCTGCCTCGTATGAAAAAGTACCAACCTTCCACTCCTAGCACTCAAGAATTCTTCTATCAGCCATGAGTTCTCCACTGTCCTTCTCCTACCTGTATGTGACGGGTTCCTCTCAACTAACAGTGTTCCTGGCTCCTGACTGGCTGCCTCAGTCTCAGCTGTTGTGGTCATTTGGGGAGTGAACCAACAGGTGGAAGGCATCTTTCCCTCAGTCTCTTTCTCTGCTTTCCAAATAAATAGAATCTTTTTTTTTTTAAGAACACAGTATAAATAACTGTATGCCGAAGGAGTTCAAATACAGCATCCACATGTTTGGAGTATAAAATTAAACATCACAGAAACTACATCTTGCAGCGTTTGACAAATTTTCCTTAATAAGCACATATTACCTTAATATCCAGGAATAAACAATAAACACTTAAAAACACTAGAACCAAATTTTTAATTTTCTCCCATATTACTGCTACTTAATTATATATATTACAGTGTTCTCTGTAGAAAGGTCATGGCAAATGGAATTTAAAATTTCAGAGCAAAAAAAAACATTGAATTCCCCATATAGTTTTTTTCATAATCCATTTTTGTCATGAACATGGTGAAGGCCCTCTCATGTCAACAGTTTTCATTTTCTAGAATTCCTCACTCTGCCTACACTAGAACCTAGGTCTCAAGAAAATTTATATTTTCATTCAAAGCACATTAAAATTGCATACTTTTGCAATCCCACACTTTATTTTTGAAGCAAAAGTACATTTTGTTCTAGATCTTTCTAAATTTGCTGCTTTTTTCCTTTTATCACAGCAACAGCAAAAGCAAGGATTTTATTCAAATAATCCAACAATGTGTCACTCATATTTCCTACCAGAAAAAAAATATGCTGTATTCAAAAAAGTAACTGTCAGAAAATAAAGTTACTCATTAAAACTTCTCAGTTGGAACATCAAGACTACGGTAACAGCTTCACAACCGTAGGTTTGTCAGAATTTATCAGACTCTACGCTTTACATACAGGCAGTTTATTTTGTATCAATTATTCCTCAATGAAGCAACTACAGAAGACAATACTATGAAAACACACACCACAATGTATAATTAAAAGGCAGCAACAGACACACCAAAGAAGAGGAACCACCACATCTTAAAGACATCAGCAAATTTATTTACAAATGCAGTTGAAACAGAAATGCTCACTGGTTTCTGGAGAAAATGTCCCGCGTATAAACCCTGGTTATCCATCATTAATGAAAATAAGCCCTCTGTTATTGGGAATTGCTTAGCAACAACTCTAGTACAGAAAATAGAGCTCCCCTAATCAAGCAAATAAGGTGTTACAGAGGTAAAATTTTTAAAAATAGTATAACACAGATGGAAAACAAGATACAGAAAGTAAATTTGCAGATGCATTTTAGCAAAAGTTTCCATACACTTTGCATTAATTTAGCATACATTTCAATAAACAGCAAATGCAATTATGTATTTATATTAACTATTTCAAATGTTTAAGAACTTTTTTAAAAAAAGCAATAAAATACCCTCTCTTCAAAACACCACTAGAAACTCAAATTAGACAATTATCAGCCTCAAAAAATATTTTGTTTTTATTTTTCCCTTGTGCTTTTATGATGCCTGAATTCAAAAAGTAAATACTGCACTATTCCCCAACACACATAATTTCCTTCTTATAAATAAACAACAAAAATACAAGTTTTATCAAGGCTGCAGTGTTGCTATGTAATCTAAAGAGGCAAAAAGTGACTAGTTTTTTTAAAAGGGAGCAAAAAAGACATACAACACACATTTATTGATCTACAGCGGCAGCAACCACCTCCTCTTCTATCTGCACCAGTGCTTTCGTGTGCAGGGTTACGTCACATGGCAGTTGGCCGTCCAGCTGATCAGGCAGGAAAAGAAGAGAGAAAAAGGGCTTAGATTCACAAACAACGCTGAGTATTGCCACCTGGGACACAGAGCAGTCACTACTTGGAGACCGACTCGGGGAGGGGGGAGTAGAAAGAGTGACCTGTCACTCAGTTTTAGGAGGAAACAAAGCAAAGCACAGCCTGTATGATCTAGGGTTGTGTGTTCGCCGAGACGGCGTAAGTACGAACCACAGACACAGGAGTAAGTTACACTCAACTCTCTGTTATTTGTATTGGAGGCGGAGAAAAGGCATGGGCAATTTTACAATGATTCCAAAAATCAATGATATTTGCCTTTGGAATTGGATGAGAGAGGGAAAAGCACACACACGTACACACAAGTCCCTGCGCTCTGCAGGGTATGCCCAGCCAGGACATTCTCCATCCCAGGGGCAGCATCCAGGCGAGGCCTAGACAGCTGCAGTGCGAAGGCTCAGAAGCCACACAGATAAAAGAGAGTTGACTGGGCTCAGGCCAGTTGCAGAGCACTCTTCACATAGAGGGCCACATAAATACCTCGGAGTTCAAAAGCAAATGGTTTTGCTGATACCACCTGTAACACCCTTTCACAGTGAGGAAGAAACACAGGTTACGGGCATCAAGGTGTGAAAGAGAAAGAGCAGAAATGGCTCTCTTGCTGCAGCTATAAACAACACACAATCTCATTATGCTATTCTGACCTATGGCGCATAAGCACGTGCTAGGACACAAAGTAGCATTCAAAGGTTTTTTTTTTCAAGCATTCGGTTTTTCTAAAAATGACATGGAAACACGGTATAACAGGATTAAAAATCTTCCTCTAAAAATACTGGTATTTGATTATTACTTAAGAATTACTTGAAAATTACTTCAATTGGTAGCCCATTGTTAAGTTATAGAAACAAACTGATATCAATCCTTCATCGGCAGCAGCAGGTGACTGTGCAAAGAGGTGTCTGAACTCTCCATCTTGGTTTGCTTGTAATCAACAACCCTAGGAAGACCCTACAAGACATCGACTGTCCTGATATTTTTGGACACCTGTCCGTGTCCAGCAACTCAGTCCCACATCCCACCCTTTGCACAGCCAGAATCCTGATTAGCAGCCCAGTTACTACACACCCTCTGGGAATTGGGGACAGAATAAGATCCACCCTCCAAATCTAAGGCAGTGAACTTGGGGGAGAGGTGATTGCAGACTCAGGGGAAAGCAGGGGAACCCGGGTTCTCCTCAAAAGACAGGAAATTTTCTCCCTGATTTGCTCTCTTACATTTGAATCTGAGATAGCAGTCGTTGCAGTAGAGCTGGTTGTTCCGGATTCTGACTTCGGCTCCTGAGGCAGAACCTCCGAGGTCGCACTGGCAGGACACACACTGTGTGACACCAAAGAAAGAACATCTGTCATGAGGCAGCTCGGGAAAGCCAGGAGCACCCTGGGGTCTAGCAGTGGGGGGAGAGGAGATGAGCAGGATGCAGCTTTTCTAAGCTCTTAAACGCATTTCAGCAAAGAAAAAAAATAAGCCAAAAGATTATTAGTAGATTAAATTCAAGCCTGCTGGATCAGACACTATTTAAAGGATTCAAAACAGCCGTTGGTAAGAGCCAAATGATCATTCTAAATAAACAACAACAACAACAAAAAATGATTTGCTGGTTGACTTCAAGAAATACAGGCACAACGTGACATGAAAGAACTGACTCAAATGAATGAAAGCTGGCTCTCTGGCACTTGGTTCTAGAGGGGCCACTCCCAGTGTCCCAGCTGCACTAGCTTGGCAAATGCTCTCACAGACCCATCATTTCAGGTTGGTTCCTGTGTTCAAGTATTAAGTATTTTGACACATTCTGCTCTGTCTAGGAAAAGAATCCAGGTCACCAAGATCCTAAGACCAGTAATCAAAGACTGGAAACTTTCTCCAGCCTGCTGTCAGTTACAGAATTAAATCTATGTGTGTCCCATCTGATTCAGAGCATCTGAAACCGAGAAAAACTTTGGGTTGTACGAACCACTCTGTGAGTCTGAGTCTAGAATGGTGAAACCAGTTACAGCCTATCAGGTATAGGAATAAACAGGCTGTACAGCTGTAAAAACACCTGCAGAGGCATTCTTAACCTGTTCCTTCTCTCCAAAGCTAGGCTCTTGGATATTGGAAAAATGGCATGTCCACATGGCGGGTAAATTTTATTTCAAGAATGCCCATAAGGGCGTCTTATAGATGGCATTTACACTGGGAATTTTACATATGGGGTGATAACAGATGAGAGATAGGGAGTGTTTTGTGTTTCCAGACTGACTTTCTGTAATCAGGGTCAAGATCTGATAGCTATAGAGCAGCAAGCAATTTGTGCTTTCAAACGCAACCCAGACCTGCAAGCGCTGCACCTGGCTTGTTGGTTAGTGGCCCATCCGCACCCAGAAGCTCCAAGAAGCCATGCGCTCTCCAAGCAAAGCGTTGCGGGGCTGCAGGCCGTAGGTCTCAGTCTCACCTTAAAACAATGCAAATGATAACAAAGCCCCAGGGACTCGATGACCATGGCGGCTCCTTTGCCCAGAATGTTATTACAGCAGGAGCACACACGCTTCCCACTGACTGACCTAGATGTGGAACAAGAATGGAATGCTGGCTTTCAAAACCTGTGTGGCTCAAAGCTCTCATTTCAAACACTCCTGTATTAAAACACTAGCAATGGCTGAAGGTGGGTTCTACTGAGTCTGCAGGGAAAAAATTCTTACTCCTCAGCTAAAGCTTCTGGTCAGCCTATAGCAACCTTGAACAAACTGGTAGCTGTGGAACACTCAACAGCTAACCATCTCTATGCAGAGGCTCGGTGGAATAAGTTCAATCTGCACCTCATGAGCCCATCCTTCTTAGAGCACAATTGGACTGAGCAAGTGTCTTTCCCACCCCACCCCAAGACATCTACAGCCTTCTGTCAATTACACTCGCCAGAGCACAAAACTTTCAGCATGTCCTTCCATCCTGTGGAACATCAACAGCAACTGTGAGATATGGCGAGACCTCCTGTCCGAACTCTTCCTCCTCACACTTCATTTTCTTATGCCCCAGATGCAGGAGTTCAACATGTAGCCTTAGCATACCACCTTCTCTGCATGGGAAAGCCAGGACCTGTCCCTCTGCTTTCTGAGCAGGGCCTTCCTCTCATCTCCCCACTGCACAGCTCATCAACAATCCCTCTAGGATTAATCTAGTTGTTATGTGAAGTGTATTCATGTATACATGTAGTACTATTCTGGACTGAAATACAATTATTTTCTTACCAATTCATTCATTTACTAGCTTAACAAAAGCACTACTTTTGTGTAGCATAGGTGTCGAGTTTTAAGCATTTGGTGATGGAATGTGGCATATGCTAGCGGAACTCCCTTAAGGTGCTGGTACTCAGGAAGAGCATAATAGTTCCATGGAGAAGCTGTCAGGCTCTAAAATCCCAACCCCAATAGACACCTGAGCTGTTCCCCATACACCCTTCTCACACCCTATGACCCACGGAGTTCAGTAGATGTCACCTGAACAAAACGTTGGTAAACCAGAAAACAGACGTGCAATGGTTTTGCAATCAGAAACCCAAAGAGCAACATCTAACCCACCTAACATTTTCTTTCTTAATTCAACTTGTTGAAAGCTCCCCCAAACAATGTAACTGGACCACAATGCTTTCCTTTTATACACAGTTGCTAGGAGTTTTATTATACTGTCATTAAAATAGTCAAACGCTTACAGCACTGCCTTCACTCAGAAATGCAAAAAGCATTAATAATGAGCTGCTGTTTCATGATTCCACATTGAGAGTTGGTGAGGCACATCTTACATTTAGGATCCTGAGCACATGTGCACACACAGGATACGATGGCCTTAACCAGATATCTCAGAGGCCACCACACCCGACACATGGGAATTCTGAGAAGAGGAAAAAGTACTAAGAAAATACTCCGAGGAATTGGTCTGATAAAAGAACGTTCTATTGGACACATTCAAAGCATTTTTTCTTCTTTCTCATTGGGGATTTTAGACAAGATCCAAAAGGGAATTAAAAAACAAATAACTGAGACTAAGAAGGAAAAAATAAGCATGTGGGAGTCTCACCTGCTGCGTGGCTGAGAGGCTGGCTGGGAAGCGGAAGCAGACTGGCTGTGCAGGGTGGGGGTCTGGGCGGTGGGCTTCCCGGGGCCAGCTGCGGGAGGGGGCACACTGGAGGATGGGTTCCGCAGGTAGGCACGGTTGGAAGTGGACAACAGCTGGGGTGGTGGGTGACTGAAGTCTTGAACAGAGGAGGATGCATGGATTCCTGTGGACTGACTGAGCCGCGAGGTTGGCTTCCAGGAGCTGGATCTCTGGGAATCGAGGTTATCCAGGGATTCACCTCTAAACATACAAAGGATTCATAAAAACCTCATACTCAAGTAGAAATCTACCCAACACCTCATGATCGTCATTACGATGCCATATTCTGTGTTCATATGCAGGAGTCTAGATACACTGATAATGAACTTGCACAAGCAGAGCTGCCCATGCAATACCATGCTTCAAATTCAATCAACATTTACCAAGCCTTGTAACACACTCTGAGTTTTGTTCTTTTTTGAGCATTGCCAATAGTACTTCAGATGTACTGCCTTGAATACATATTTGCTTATTTAACCAAATACCTCCAGGAGAGAAATACTAGAATCTAAATTGCTCACAGGGCACAGATATATAAATGTCTTCTTTAACACATACTGAAAAACTGTCTGCACAGTCAGGAACAAGGATTCACATTTCCCAATACAACTGTTAATACTAGGTTTAATTAATCTTTTAATTCCTTACAAATCCCATTAGCAAAAAAAAAAATCATCATTGTTATTTTAATAGTGCTAATCTTTGATAAGCTTGTTTTCTGTCTTCTTTTTCCTGGAAACTGTCTACACTACTTGTGTATGTATATAAACTTGTATTTATTTACTGACTTTTAAAAATATTTGTATACTGGGCCCGGCAGTGTGGCCTAGCAGCTAAAGTCCTCGCCTTGAACCTGCCGGGATCCCATATGGACACCAGTTCTAATCCCAGCAGCTCCACTTCCCATCCAGCTCCCTGCTTGCGGCCTGGGGAAAGCAGTCGAGGATGGCCCAGAGCTTTGGGACCCTGCACCCGTGTGGGAGACACAGAAGAAGTCCCTGGATCCTGGCTTTGGACCAGCATAGCATCGGCCATTGCACTCACTTGGGGAGTGAATCATCAGATGGAAGATTTTCCTCTCTGTATATCTGACTTTCCAATAAATATATAAAAATCTTTAAAAAAAAAACATATTTGTATATTAAGACACTTAGCTCTTTGTCTATAGCATATTACAAAAACTTTCTCCAATTTCCTTATCATGGAAGCAAAGATTGAAATAGAGTAGCTACAACATTTGTTTGCCCAAGATATATCTTTGAAAATCCTCACCCACTCATCTCCAATGTCCATTACATTTAAGGGTTGACCTTCTTGAACTTACAGAAATTTGGTTTTCACACTTTGCGAATCCCAATGCCCAAGGCAATTATGACCTCACTATAAACACTAGAGGAAAATGTGACCTCTGGTTAAGGTTAGCGGCCAGGAAAGCACTAAGAGTGGCATGCACTATTTACATGTCGAGTTCTGCTTCCAAATCTGCAATCTATTTGCTGTCTGAGACTGCCCATGGTTTTCCCACAAGGAAACAATGACCATCCCTACCCTCCAAATATTTCCCCAAGATGAAACGAGCTGCAACAGACAAAGTGACCAGCTCACATCTCCTTCTCTCATCTCATCTGAGGCTACTTGAAAGAAGGATGACAACTTGTCCATCCAATGCATCAACCTTCCCATTTATTAGGTATTTGCCTCACACCTCCTCATGATGCCTGGCAGACAAATGGGTTCTTTGTTTATACTGGCGCTGCGCTGCCGGATCCAGCTGTTGTCGTTGTGCAGAGACGTTTTCTTCCTCATCTCCTGGAGGATTTGCTGTCTCTCCAACTCAGCCCCCGATGGGCCTTGGTCCTTCTTGAAGCTCCTCTGGGAAGAACTAGTCTCCCCGATGCGGTCTAAATATCTGCTGCTTCCTAATAACACACCCACATAACCCTAAAACACCTACAACCCATCTTCACAATACCATTTCCCCATCATCTTATTTTACAATATTCCAAATAATTCCTTCATATATCTTATCCTCTACAAAAACCTTTATCCCAATCTTACCACTCCTTCCCCCACCTTATACCCTCTATTCCATAACCCCCCACAACCTCCTAACCAAAACTCCTAAACACTCTTCAACATCTCCCCTATCCAACAAACATAACACCCAAACCCCCCTCCCCCCCCATCACCCCCCCCATCTATCCCCCACATACCATCCCATATTTCCCAAATTAATATATTACTAAAAACCAAACCATTTTCTCCCTCTTCATTTCTCTACTACCACCCCCATTAAAACTACCATCTCACCATCCCCTATAATTAACCCATACATAAACTAAAACAACCACATAACTTCATCCTAATACCAATCCTACACAAAAAATCAATTTTAATATACACAATTATCACCATAAATCAACAATATCAGAATTATTGTACTACCAATTATCAATATCCCCTATACATAATAACCAAATACAAAAACCATTTATATTTATTAATCCCCGGCACACTTACCTAACCTAAACTACAGCCACTTCACACCCGCGCAATATCTTGTGCCTCCTAGATTTGTCAATTAATGTCTGAGTTGTACAAAGCAGTCACAACTTTCAAGCACCATCCTTGTTTTAATTCCAGTTAGGAAACTTCATCTCAAGACCATTCTTCCTCTAGATCTACTGCCACTGTCATCTTTTCAAAATTCATGCCCTATGTCTTCATCTTCCTGTCACCAAAGGGCTACTCCATCATACATTTCCTATACATATCCATGTTTATATTTGTGAATACACATGGCTTGTTGGTTTGGTTGTATTTAAATGAAATATTTTCTTGTTATAAGATACCCATTAGTATAACCAACTTACTTGTTGAAATGCATTCATTTCCACTGTCATGCAAGAGCATGCGATTACTTATCAGAGAAGAATACATCCTACCAAAATAACCAGACTAATGACACAAGCCATACATATTAACATGGTTATTCCAGAGATAGACAACTGCTGCTGTGAACAGGTCAGTATACAGGCTCATCATCATAATACAATCACGGAAAGTAAGTGAAGACCAGATGAACCAGATCAGAGAGTACCTGGTAAACTGGGGACTGAGAGAAGGGATAACTTGGCACAGCAAAAGGGGAAAAGGTAATTATATAAGAAAAGAAAACTACATTCAGCTAACAGAAGCTTTTGCAAAGTTGAGGAGAAGGGGCAATGTGAGTCTTCTAGAACTCTACAGAAACATGGCCATCAGGATGATCATGACTCCACAGGTTACAAACTAGCTGCTCCCGGGCTGATGCTGTGGCTCAACAGGCTAATCTACCTTCACAAACTAGCTGCCCCCACATCACTCTGACCTCAGATACCCTCAGCTCTCAAGGGAGTTTAAATCTTTGTAAGTTCCTTGTCAGCACTTGACGGCAACACATGAAATCAGATGGTCCAACTCCAGGTAAAGCAGAAGGCTTGAGGATCACAAGTTTACATTCCCTCCATGGTGGCGATGAGTTGGAGAGCCAGGGAGGGTTGCCCACTCAGACTGTGGCTGCACCCCAGTACCCACCTTCACCTTTGCTCAAGCAGGTTATGCAAGTAGCCTGCTTAGGCAAACCCTGACAAAGATGAAGATGACGCCTTCGTGTCAGGACTTGTTTCCACAGTTATAAAATGTCATTTACATGCTTTTCTCACAAATGCATCTTGTGGTAAGCTGCAGAAATATTTGCTGTCCTAATTTTTCAGCTGTAAGATTATACCTACTGTACAAAACTATATCATTCCTTTATAAAATGCCTGCACAATTCATCAGCTGTTTTAAAATCATTTCAAAATTCCCAATGTTCTCATCAGTCTCTGAGCTAAGATGAAGTGATATACAACAGCCAGTCCTCACTTCATTGCTGAGCAAAGTCAAGGGCCTGGCATGGTAGCCTTGTGGCTAAAGTCCTCACCTTATACATGCTGGGATCCCATGTGGGTGCTGGTTTGTGTTCCAGGAACTCCACTTCCATCCAGCTCCCTGCTTGTGGCCTGGGAAAGCAGTCAAGGATGGCCTAAAGCCTTGGGACCCCCAACCCGTGTGGGAGACCTAGAAGAAGCTCGGGGCTTCTGGCTTCGGGTTAGCTTAGCCCCAGCCACTGCAGCCACCTGGGGAGTTAATCAACAGATGGATGATCTTCCTGTCTCTCCTCCTCTATATTATTCTGACTTTCCAATAAAAATAAAGAAATCTTAAAAAAATTAGAGTCAAAATATGCACATTATTTGTTGTAGGTACATATGAAGACAAGAAACACTCAGTTTTAATAATATAATCTTAATCAGAAATAGTCTGACTTAGAAACATTGATCCTGTTGTGTGACAACAGAAATAAAGCAGTTTGAATAAAAAATAAACAGAAATTTGAAAAAATATACTTACCATTTTTATTTGGGGCAATCTCATGCAGTTCAGTAGTAGACTTAGATTTATTCCTAAAGTACAGAACACAACATATTAAGTATATCCCATAAAGTTCACATGTATGAAGTTAAAACATCAGAAAAATTGCTTTTCTGAAGCAATATTTTGTCTGTTGAGAACTACATTTATTTTTCAACCAAAAAATTCTTCATACTGCACAAACTAGCAGCAAACCGTAACATCCTGAAATAGAAAACCATGACCTGTGAGAAATAAACTGAAGCCCATTGCAGTTCTTCTCAGGGATCCTAGAATAGTACAATGATTGAAACCATGAGGTCTGCCTAGCTGATGGCAGTGTTCACTGAGTTCTAGAGCTCAGTCTTTGTGGGCTTGCTAACACTGCCACCTGATCCCCTCAAGTCATGCAAGTCTCTTCTTCCACTCTGCCTTGGGTCACACGCTTGATCCCCACTGGCTCCTCTGGAACAGGCCTCTACTAAATGCTTCCCCAGAGAAACGACACCATCCTGTACTACCAACTTCTAAAAACACCGAGATCTGTAGTGGTAGAATTTATGTCCATAAATCAACACACACTGCTCTAGTTCTCACTCTAGCAGGTACAGTGAGTTCAAAATCACATAATCATATTGTACATGATACAATAATATGCAGTCTTACACACAGGCATATGCATTCAACGCTTCTATGCATAATGTGCAATACTCAATAGTATATCATGGTAGATCACAATTGGCAAATAGCTGCATTGGGAAAACACTCATGGCCAGATGCTGTCAATGCCCCTGCAACATCTGTTGTATTTTGTAATGTTTCTCTTACCTGCATTTTAATTATTTTTTCCAGGGTAACAAACTACATAAATCTTTTTCATATCAATAAGTAAACCCATGGTTTTGAAAGAGAACTTAACATTTGAATGGTCTATAGTTACCTGAGGCCATTCATTATAAACCAGGTCATCTATCAATAGATTTTTCTTTAGCTGGCTGCAGTCCATTACTGCCTGGTCATTCGTTTCTCCCTTTCTACTCTGAGCCTTCTTCAGTCATCATTGCTCACAGGTTCAAGTCCTTCCTTACATCTAATAAATTAGACACACTACCCAAGGGAGACATTTCAGGTCTCAAAACACAACTTCAGGAACTTCCACTCTGTAATTACTAGCACTTTGTTCAGATGTCTTTAATAATTTTAAAACTGCAAAGCATTTTTCATATTAAACTTTAAAAATGTATGTTTCAGGAAATTTGTAATTTATAAATCCCATATTTACTTGCTAAACTGATCAGAGTTCTAAGCAACTCTATAGGAAACAGGTCATAAATATTTTAGATGTCCAAATGTGTTCCTTTTTCAAGAGGGGAACATAAAATCTTTTTTTAAAAAAGATGCATTTATTTCTACTGGAAAGGCATATCAGATTTATGAAGAGAAGGAAAGATATATCTACTGCTTTACTTTCAAAATGGCCACAATGGCCAGAGCTAAGCTGATCCAAAGCCAGGAGCCAGGAGCTTCTTCTGGGTCTCCCACATAAATGCAGGGTCCAAGGCTTTGGGCCAACCTCAACTGTTTCCCTGGGCCATAAGTGGGAGCTGGATGGGAAGTGGAGCCACAGGGACTTGAACCCATGCCCATATGGGATCCTGGTAATTTAACCTTTGAGCCACTGTGCCAGGCCTAGGGGACATATAATCTTAAGCTATTGCTATTAACATGTCAAAAACAGATTATAATGCATTACCAAAAAATGAACTGTGGAGCCCAGCATGGTAGCCTTGTGGCTGAAGTTTTCACCTTACACACACCAGGATCCCATATGGGGACTGATTTGTGTCCCAGATGCTCCACTTCCATCGAGCTCCCTGCCTGTGGCCTGGGAAAGCAGTGAAGGGTGGCCCAAAGCCTTGGGCCTCTGCACCCATGTAGGAGACCCAAAAGAAGCTGCAGGCTTCTGGCTTCAGATGAGCTCAGCTCCGCCTATTGCAGCCAATTGGGGAGTGAACCTTATTTAGAAGTTCTTTGTCTCTGCTTCTCTCTGTAAATCTGAATTTCCAATAACAACGAATAAATCTTTAAAAAAAGACGGTTTTCATTCTCTGTCCAACCCCATTGTAATGTGGCTCCCTCCATAAAGATGTAAAGTTTGTATCCTGTCTGTGAAGTTGAGCTGATTTTTGTGACTTCACTATGGATAAGACAGCCCTACAGCCTTCCTCTCTTAATCCCCTCTGTCCTAACCAGCAGGTATGTGAGATTCCAATCAACTGCGGGATAATAAAAGGCACATGGTCCCCCTATCTCCCAGCTCTACCAGGCATCAGCCTGGCCCCCAGAGCAGAGTCTCCTAGCTAACTGGCAGCAGAGGCATGAGTAGGCCTGCCAACTGAGCTCAGTCCAAGAGCGGACTCACACAATCTTATGTAAGTCATTAAAAAAGGTTACATGGCAAAATCCAATACCAAGATCAACCAGAAAGTTCTCTTCATATCACACAAAAGACAAAAAGCTCAAGCAGCTCTACATCATAAAGGTAAGCATTGGAACGCTGATCTAAAAATAATGAATACTGATCAAATTATGAATTTGTGTTCGACTTACCTGTCAATAGGAAGCAAACCTGAAGATTCTTCCTCTGTCTTTGACAGATCATAGGAATCAATGGGCCTAAAAGATGGGGAACAAATGAATTTCATGCTGAACAAGAAACTTGATTTTCCCTAACTTTACGAAAAGGATACCAAAATTTATACATACAGTGTCTGAGTCAAAAACTAAACCAATTACTGTAGCCAAACCGATGGACTGCTGTTATCAGGCACCTGCAACTGCTTCATTCATTCCACAAGCACATACTAAGTAAGTGCCTAGCACATCCATGTACTGTTGTGGGTACGGGATAGAAGTATATAAAGCCAGCTGCATGGTCTCACGCTACATACAATCAAGGCAGCAAACAGAACAACAAACAAATAAGCACATTAACACAAAGCAGGCAGGCTACAGGCAGGGAGGGAGGGACAGAGGGAATGGCACGGTATTCTGGAATGTTAAAGAAGGTGATGTTTAAGCAGCCTTAAACAAAACCAGCAAGACATACAAAGATGTGAGGGAAGCCTTGCTCAGACACAGAAAGCAGAACCCATGAAGTCCCCAGGGCATAATATGTAGGGCATTTTTATAGGAGAAAAATGGGGCCAGAGTGGTTGGAACAGTGTGAACAAGAGGGAAGGCCATGAGACACCAAGAGGTCGACCACCAGCTACCACGTGGCCTTCTGTGCATGAGAGAGGCATCTGATCAGTGTCCTCACATGCCTAGAAGGCCAAGGGCAGCATTTTGGACAGAGAGAGGCAATGACAGGACTGGGGTTAGGGTTTAAGGGTACCAGGGCACTGTTTGTGCTCACTTATGCACAGAATGGAGGAGCCTTTAAAACAAGGTAAGAAAATGGCTCACATACCTCCTATACTGGTAAATTCTGATGGACGTTTCCCTCTCTCTTTCTGCCAGGTGTTTCTGGTCCTCTGCCCGGCGCCTCTGGGCATCTGCCTCAGCCTCTCGCTGTCGTCGCTCCTGCTCCTCCTGGTACCGCTGCCTCTGGGCTTCTGCCTCGGCCTCTCGCTGCCTTCGCTCCTGCTCTTCCACCCGGCATCTCTCAGCCTCAGCCTCTCGCTGCTGCCGATCCAGCTCCTCCTGGTACTGCTGCTGCTCCCTCAATTTCCTCTCTCTCTCAAGCACCAGCTGCTCCTGCAGTTGCTTTCTCTGATCCTCAAGAGCCACGTCCTCTGGCTGTTGATCCCTCTCCTCCTCACCAGCACGGGTTCCTTCCCTGTCTGAAGACTTGGACCCTTCACTCCAGGAGGCCTCCCAGGTGGCGACTGTAGAAATGCTGTGCGAGTTCAGGACCATCAGTTCCTAGTGGAACAAAGAAGACAAAATCCACCTAAATCTCTAGATCTCCTGAATTTCTAGACTTTCCTACAGATTCAGACACACTTGATTTGGGGTGACGTCCATTGTAGTTGGCCCAGAAACCCACTTGACAAACTATGAAGAGGTTATAGCACTACAAGATGCCACCTGCAAGGGACTGGAGTGTGATTCAGAAGAGAAGATGCATGCCAAGTTCTAGCAAAGTAACTGCTGGTGCCATAGAAGAAAAGCTAGGAGTGAGACCGAAACAACAAAACTTCAGAAAATTACACCGGTGGATACATGGCCAAACGTGGAGGGAGATGAAGCATCCCCTGCTTTCTAGTCAATTCCATCAACAAGGGCAAGAGGAGGAAGAGGAGGATGCACTACCTCATTTAGGTACTTGGAGTTTTCCCTCTCGGCCTCCTGTTGAGCCCTTTGCCACTCTTCTCTCAGCTTCTCCTGCTCACGCTGGTATTTCTCCTGTAAGAAAACATGGTGCAGGGATCCACAGGTTGAGTTTTCACCCTAAACAGCCACTTTGCTCATTAACACTTCTGCTCTCTCTAAATTGACACCTTGACCCCTAAAGGCAATGACTTTGTTTTCATCGACTGCAGTGAGCTTGTTACGAAGGGACAGATGCTCTGATATCAGACTTGCATCAACACTCCAACATGGTTGAACCCCAGGTGGATGATCAGGGGACCTGGGCTCTGGGGCAGTGGGCACTCTCATCCCTAGGTACAGGAACTGAGCCCACTCAACATCGCCATACCTCTCACTCCCACCACAGTGCCCTTCATACCCCCCTAAAACCATACATACAGGATGTTTAAAGTGATGAGTCAGGAATGTTCAAAATACAAAGTATCTGCCCAGTGCAAGATGGGCTAGCTCCAAAGGGATTATTAATGAGTTACAAGACTGTAGGGATTTTGTCTTGTGTTGCTAACTTGCTCCCCAATTTTGGTTAACACTGATCGATCAGGGAACAGCAGTGAGAGCAAGTCTCAACCAGCCCTACCACACCCACGGCCACACCATGGTGTGTCACCTGCAGCAGCCGGTCCTGCTCCTTCTGCCAGCGCTCCTGCCGCCTGCGCTCCTCCTCCTGATCCCAAGCCCAGCGACTGGGCGTGCTAACGGTTGGCACGGGAAGCTGAGCAGCCACAGAAGAGGAGCAAACATAGAACAACACAACAATGTTAAGTTGTCTCCCAGACTGTTCTCCTACGAAGTGTTCACATTACACTTGGCCTGTACTAGCCTGAAAGAGTTAGCTTTCCACAGAAAAGTGCTTTCTCCAACATGGAAGGACTACTAGCTGATAAATCCCCAGGTCAAACAATGGAAAGTAACGCTACTTGGCATGAGTTAAGTCCTACCCACCACATCCTATATATCCAAAATACAAAACAATCTTACTTACATCAGGAGCCACAGAATCGGAGCTTCCTGTCATCACAGCATGTGGGCAAGGAGGGGAAGGAAAGCAGAGTCAGTCTCCATTTCCATGAAACCATTCCTTTCAGCAAGTTGGGTCACTATCATCCCCAGGCCACTACTGTGCAACATCTATGTGTTTTGTTTTTAGTAACAGTCAGAAAAACATTTTTTTTCTTCTCAGCTCTATTAATGCTATTCCCAACTCAAAGTCAGTAACAAGCAGACCGAACCATGCATACCAGAACTGGATCCACAGATCATTTTGAAGAGATTTCAGGATTCTGTCATTAATAAACTGGACAAATCATCTCAAAGTTTGCTAGCAGAAAACAAAAAACTTCAAATGCTACTAAACCCACCAAATCCAATAATTTACTTGCCAAAATGACATCTACAAGTCACTACAAGTCATACTCTCAGGCCTTCTTGGTAAACAACTTTTTCTCTTTTTACAAATATGTCATCCAATGAACATATTAAAGAAACAGTTCCTTGTCCTCTCCTATTATTAGAAGCACAAGTACTCAAACTTCATGCACACACCTATAACAGGCACACAATTATTTCTTTCATCCCTTTGGAATTATGTGTGTACACAGCATAATATTTACAAAACGTACCATTTCAGAAAACACACTAACAGACAGTATTTTTCAGTTTCTCTGAAACCTCAGTATTTATGTAAACTATTCACTTGTAATTTAAGGAAACAGCTTAGAGGTTTAACTACTCTTCCTAAAATAGCCTGTTGAAAAAAATGTGAGGCAAAAATAGAAACCCCCCCCCAAAAAAAGAAAAGAAATTGGCTTATTTCTGCAATTTCTAAGTTTCATTTAAGTAGAGAAAAGGAGCTTAATTTTTTAAAATTAATGACAAACACTAAAAATACTGACACAAATAGATGTACAGAGCTGGTAAACTATTTCTCTTTATGGTCAAAAAGACACTTTTATCCATAAAAGAAAACTACTAAGTGATTAACACAAAATACACAAATTATTACACTATACAGCTAGTCTGTTTAGATAATCTTAAAAGAAACAGTAACATTTTAATCAGCAAGAGCACAATTTCCATTGACTATTGCACCTCAAATGTTGGATTGCTTTTAAGTTCTTCATAGCAAACATACAGTTTGAGCAGCATGCATGAGGCAGAATGTTAGATGAATGTGAAAGGGGAAGAAACGCGACACGTAACACACATTGTGAGGCAGTGTGCCCGACTACACCAACTTTGAGAATTTTAAAATACACCTGCTGTCAGATGCAACCAAGATCTACTGACTTTGAATTTATTTAAAAGTCAGCAGGGTAGTTACATCGCCAATTCCAAAGCCATCACTCAGCAGTAACAAATCACTCGGCTCTTTTGTTAAGAGCATTTTCTGCAATCAAAACAAAATCAAAGTTTTTAAGAGTTGGCTAACTACATGTTGGTATAATCTGATACAGGAAGCAGTAAGGTTTGCACATGAAATGTCTCATTTCTTATTGTTATCCAGTGGCAAGAACTGTGTGTTTCAGAGCAACTAAACTTCTTTTAACGTTTTAAAATAAGACCAAAAAAAAAAACACAAAACTTTGGCGGTAAAGGACATGTAAAGACCCATTACCACAGAGGTAGACCCATGAGCAGTAAGAAAAGCCTGGTGACCCCAGGGAAAGAATGGAGATGGTTATGCTGCTTGGTCATAATGACAGCCCAACCAAAAGGTTCAGTGCCCAGCACCGCAGACCATGAAGAGTGGACAGCAAGAAGAAGCTTGTGAAAGTGTAGGAAGCGTTAGCTTTGTGACTTGTAGTTTACCTTGTTCAAAAAATTGTGACCGCCTTTTTAAGTTTTTCAAAGATATGGGTTCACTTGCTAGTTGAAAAATAAAAACAAAAGTAATCAGTAAAAACAACATTTCTATTCATTTTCATTTCTCACCACTGGTGAATTAGATGATACTTGATACACCTTCCAAATCTATAGCACTGTTTTTAAATGACAAATCAGATAAGCACAGAAGATACACATTATAAGACATGCATGTGTGTGCACATGAGCACACATATATACACATTTTAGCAATCTGTTACATTCATATTAGTAAAAGGAATAATTTTTAATTAATTAATTTCAGCACTCAGCCTTGCATTTTCACAAACTAAGAAAGTTAAAACACAGTTTTCCATGCTACATCACTCTGCTTTGGGACATGGAACGTAACATGTATTGCTTAATCAAACCAAAATCTCATACAGCATGAGCAGAATTATCTGTAATAAAGAATTATGTGCAATGAAGAGCTTTCATATACTAATAAATAAGAACTAAAAAGTAATGCGAAGGAAAACAAAACAGGACATCCAAGGAAAGATCAAATGAAAACAAATGCTATAGTGACTAGGTTCTTCCAATTGGAGAATTTTGCTCTAGCTTCCCAGAATTAGGTCCTACTAACACTGAGTAAATTAAATGGAGTCCAGTCACACAGAAAACATTCTATCATCTAAAGCATAAAATGTAAACGTGATTATGGCTTGATGCTGGTTGGTGCTGACTTATCCAACCAAAACCTTCCAAGACAAAGGCCTGCACGAAATCCACTGCCATTACAGAGTTGAAGGGGTCTTATCAATGAGCCCCACCTGATCCAATGGCAGAGCTGGACCTGAATACCTCAGAGTTGACATTACCATGAAAAACAAGGACTCATCATTGAAAACAGGCTCTGACAAAGAACACAGATCCACATAATTGAACCAGTCGTTTCCAATGACCAAAAATGAATTACAAAGACAAATAATGACAGTAAGAAGTACATGCCCAGATGGGCTTTAGTTCAGAGGGAAAGAAATAACACCTTCTTTTCAGTACACTTATGTAGACCAGATCTCTTTTAGTTGGCATGTCCAAGAAATAGTACACAGCAGACTGGGGCAAAGCTATTTCTGGTTCTACAGAAAAAGGAGGCGGGTGACAACTCCAACTTTTCCTAGACAGTGTGTCTTCTTTCTCTTTCCAAATGTGCACATGCATCAATGACCATTATCACTACTCGCATTTCCCGTTAAGACTGGTTCCCTCCACACTTGTGCACCCTACACAACAAACAAGATTTCATTCATTGTTTCATTTTAACGAACAATCCTCTTGCCAGTATATTGCAGCCAAAAAAGCTAACGGCCTTGGGAGAACCAGTCTTTCTTATTTGACTTAGGCACACGGGTACTGGAAACTCCAGAACACACTGCCAAAGCTTTGTTTGCAGTTCCTGAACTCTTCAGTGCTCACCCAAAAGCCCTTCCACCTGGCTGCAGCTGGATCTTCACACTAACCTTTTAGTTTCAACTTGCATTGTATCTGCTTTTCTTTCATTCACGGACACTAATTTTTATAGCAGCAGATTCTGAGTGCCCAGCTTTTCCTACATTATAAATGAGAGTTAAAATGGTGGTACTTACCTTTTGATTCATAAATGTGGCTTTCATCATGAATCCCATTGATTTCTTTGGATTCAGTATTCTAGCAAGAATAAAAACCCTAATTAAATTTCTTTGCAATTGGACTTCACACTTAAATAATGCATTTCTCGTTAATGAAAATCTCTCCTAACAAGATGAGTTTTTCAGGATATTGATGCATTTCTACAGACTTCTACATATAGTAAAGACTTGAACTTTTTCATTATTCTTCAATATTTGCAGCAGGATTAATAGCTGGCTGCAGGCATGGATGATTTTAACTTTAATTAGTCATTATTTTTTCTAGAAACATGATGAACCCAATAATCATTAGTTCATCTGATCTCTATGTACAAATAGAAGTCATGAGATTTTTCTAACATCTAAACTTTTCTTATTTAAGGCACCAAGATACTCTTATCTAATAAAAAGGGGGTATTTTATCAGAATAATGATGATATCAAACAAAAAAATACAAATGCACAATATTTAGTTGAAATTTGCCTGCACTGAGTCTTCACTCATAACAAATAAGAAAACACTTTTTTCAAAGCCTATATAAAGTGTATTGCTTCAATATCTTAAAAATAATCACAGACCTTTCCATCAGCTAGTGAGACTGACATATTTTTCAAAGTCTATATAAAGTGCATTGTTTCCATACTTTGAAAATAATCATAATGTGGACATTTCTCCATCAACTAATATAACTATTATGCAATTTTACCCATCAAATTCACCCATATATGCACTAAAATTGATTTATAAGGTTTTACATTGCAAACAATGATAACATTTATTTTAACGGTACGAAAAAATGTGGGTCGCTTACTACTTCAGAGTCACACACATCTGAGGGATGGATACAAGATAGAAAGATTGGCGAGAAATGGGTGCAAATCAACAGTAATGGTGCTTTTGATTTTACCATATGTAACTCACTACTGCCCTGTTGACGAGAAATGCCTCACTGTTTTAGAAGTGCATTTGACTCTGTAAAAATAATATATTCAATTTCTCCTTTCTGAAGCATTACCAAAAGTATGTCAACAAATTATTTGCTGCATACACAATTCCCACAGTTGCTTTGCTCTATATAAGCAGTCCTTCCTCCCCAAACACTTACAGGACTCTGAAGGCTTTCAGAGAAATCAGTTGTTACTGACACACTTGAAGACTTCTCAGAACTGTAAATTCCAGAAGTTGTATCGATCCACTTTGTTTCAGGTGCACCTATAATTTTGGTAGCCATACTGGTGAGATTCAGAATTTTATGGCGTGTAAATGGCAAGGAAGGCTGGTCTTTGCCCCAGTCTGATTGGCACATGAAGATCAAGTAATGAGTACATATAAATGTTGAAGTGGAAAGAATAAAGTTACTGAGTGCACATACACAAGATGGACACATACAAGACAAACAAATCAGATAGTGTGAGGAGAAAGAAGTGAAGAGCCCAGGGTTTTGCCACCAGGCCAGCGTCCCAGGACACAGTACAAAGGTTAAATGTTAATAATAAAGAGACTAGCAAATTCCCTGAATCTTCCCATAAATCAGGACTGGATTTCTATTTCCATATACAAGTTGCTAGGTTAGGGGAGACGTAAGGCCCTTCCCCAATCCAACTCCAATGTGTGCAGAAACAAGAATGGGATGTATAGAGAGTCCTTTGAGAAGCAATACCTAGGATGTCATCCATCACACACGTTCACACCACACAGGTGGGACACTGTGAAGAGAGGCAAACCACAGTGTAATTCTTCATTCTCGTTATTACAGATGGTTCCAGAAAGCAGATCTGAATACTGCGATTCCATCAGAGCAGGACATGAGTCAGTTAAACAGTAACAGTACAGAATTCAGTAAATTTGCTAGTAGAAAGTTCTGAGACAGAATTTCCAAAAGGTATGATTCAAGATTTATCCCAATATAACTACAAAACACCTTTAAGCCAAAAAACGAATAGAATGAAAAAGGAGAAAGTTACTGAAGCAAATTGTTACAACCACTTGCCAAAGACCAGCTCCCAATTTAGAAGGCAGACACTGGGCCACATTCACTCACCAGACTTTCCATAGCGTCTGACATCCATAACTAGGTTTCCAGTTTCCTGAGCCTTAGCCATGGCTTCCTCCCACTCTTTTTTATCCTTATTTGAAAATTTGTTGTTGTTAATGGCAATAATTTCATCATCAACCTGGAGCTGAGAAAATTCTGCTGGGCTGCCTAAATACAAAGTAAATTTTAAAAGAAACACACATTTTTAAAAAGAACGGTATGCTTTGCTAGTCACTGCTTCTTTAATCAAGATGACTTCCTGAAAAAGAAAATTGACTTCCTAATCCTGACTATGCACATCCTATTTTTTCAGGTGTGTCAGTAAATTGTGTTGTGTGTGTGTGTGTGTGTGTGTGTGATTAACAAATGGTTGAGTATCAACAATATTCAAAAATCAAGGCATTTTCAAATGCATCTTTGTAAATGAGGAATTCTAACTCTTTTATGTAACAAAAATTAACTTCATGAGGACAAAGAAAATGTATATCATTTTTAAATTTAAAAGATGAAGCAGACTGCACTGAAATCAGATGCACTCTGGAATGAAGCTAAAGAAAACATGGACACTTACAATCACATAACAATTATTACTGTAATTAAAACACTGTCAGGTAATTAGAGCAACCTTGAACCTCTAAAAAAATTGCCAGCACTAATATGAAATTTTAAGTAGCTTTGAAATGTAAACAAAGATTTCCTGTTAAACACACTGGTGTTCATTTGAATTTTAGGCCTTGCAATAGTTAATATTATTTCCCAAGAGTTCCTGGGCTTAACCTGATAGAACCTTGGGTGAGGAAAGAGAATTCCTTTGCAGAAGCACAAGTGTCCTGAAGACTACATGGGCAATAAAGAGCATACAGACTAGGATGCTCAGAAATTACACACACATATGTAAACATTGATTTACTGCACAGTATATATAGCATTTATATTCCACAAAAAGCAGCCAATCACGGAAAATTCTAAATCTTTAACCAGTTACTGTTTATTAACATTTCCAAATATCAAACCTGAAATTCTGACAGAAACATTGTGTAAAGCCACAAAAATCAGACTCCTTAAAACCAAAAGTTAATTATACGAGGAAAATATGTAATACGCAATTTATAACCCCAACCACTGAAAGTCCCAGGGAAGAGGATGCATCTCCTTTATGAACTGATGCATTCTGCACATATTTTCTCCATCTACAGCAAATAAATGTATTTCTGTGTCTTATTTTTCCCCAGAAAGAGTAACAAAAAAGAACAGTCAGTAGAGTTAATGCCATCATTTACCTGCTTCAACTGATGCTACGAAGATCCCGGAAAAGTCCCATTTTACTGTAAAGCCAAAGTCAACACTGTTCCCAGGCATCTGGTTTATGCTGATTCTCATATCACTAAACTGATCCTGAAAATAAAACATGAAACGCTGGTATCAAGTGTCCTTGGCACCCATGGGAAGGAAACTCTATCCATGAGAGAAGGGAGGCTGCATGCAAGGTGCACCTGAGTTATCTCCCGTAAACCAGAAGCTCCATTCTTTTTCGTCTGGTTTTACAATACACAGATGTACAGAAGTACCACTGAGCTTATATAGTTTTCTGCTCAAATAAGGGAAGTCTTATTGTCAATCATTGTTTTTCTCCACCTTCATACTCTTCATCAGTTTGTCCATTGATAGAGTTAGATTTTTGCTCACCATACAAATGAGCAATTTAAAAGCCAGTTATTTCCTGCCCAGGAATGAAGCAGAGTGGTTGGTCTTGTTTATTTTTAAAATCCCAGGATGCTCCTGCAATATTTCACATTAATCTAGCTGAATACTTTTAAGTAGTTTATTGACACACAACTGCCTAAATTCACACACACACCATGTCATCCAGGATTGGTACCACCCCACCCCACGCTGCACACTTCAAACTTTGCAAAGCACTTCTGCCTTCCAACTGCCACATGAGGCTCAAGGCAGAGCTGTTACAAGGCCATAAATGCAGAACTACTCCACCTGTGAACACTGAGGGTTCTTGGTAACAAACTGCCATTTCTCGCTGGTATTGCAAATATCCTAGAGCTTCTACAGAGCCATTCTAAGCTACACCACGACTTTCTTGAGACAACATCAGCCCATAACCCCCCCTGAGAACAGTCTCAGAGATAGAAGGTAAAATTCTATTTCCATCTCAACACCATACAACACAACAACAAATTCCAAATTACACAAGACCTGCTTAAAACAATTTAGAAAATAGTTACAGTCTGACAGGGAACCATGTCTTTGAAAACCTTAACTACCTTTCATAATGTGCATATTTTGTTTCATTTGGGAAAGGAACCAGTTACAGACTTAGGTTTTCTAATGTTTTAGTTCTTTGTTTCATAACAACTATAATGAATTTAGATTTGCTTATTTTTAAAAAATTTCTTCGTAAAGCTAGTTGACTATCCAAGAGAAGAAAAATAATTTTTTTCCATTATAATCTGACAGTTAAAGCTAGAGTCCACTGCCAATTCTTACAGCTTTCTAAGTTTTTCCATTTCTAAACTGAGTTTAAAATCTAAATCACAATACTCTGAGAAAAACCTAGATAGTACCTACGAATTAGAAGGTAGACAAGAAGGCACAAAAATGAAGAGTTGGAACTACATAGAACTGCAGAGTCGAAGTGTTGTGCACACACTTACTGTACATCGATTCTGTGCAAGATAAAATAATTACCACTCTGGAAGAGAAAAAATGAAGTAGACCTGATCCTTGTTCTCAGGAACTCATTACTTTTCAACATTTTCAGCAGAAAGCCTCTGTAAAGCATTTTTAAAGGAAGAATCCACATGTTGACCATTGCACTCAGTAATAATCATCCTGATATGATGAACACAGATGTGAATATAATACCTTCCAGTAGATAACAAAGACCTACTTATTATTTTTACTTGTTAACCCATTTTACCATACAGTGAGCAATAACTCAAAGTTACCATCTTTGCCATGCTGACTGCAAGAAATATTAAAGCCAATTAAAGTATATAGTCTACTGTGACAGAAGGGCAGAGAGAAATGATAGCTTTGATTTAAAAATAGTAACAGGGTTTTTATTTTGCTAGAATAATAAGATATGGGGTTTAATAAACAGTTTCAAACTACATAAGGGATATACTTTGTATATAATACAAATAAATACTTTGCTTTTCTACCAAATATAGACCAAAAAGAATGAGCTTAACGAACCTCACAGATATATTAGACAAGAATAACTGTTCCATACAGGGCTATTCTTGCTTCAGAAAGAAAGGAACATCTATCTGAACATTTCACAAGAAATGACAGATAACCACCTCTACAGAAGTCCCCAGGGAACACAGCAGTCTCCTATGGCTGTCACATAGCAGACTGCTAACATTCATCTTAGTGACAGTGCACGAGAAGAGACAGCCACAAGAGGCAATTACAGGTGCATTTCTGTCAATAACCTATCGGGGAGTTTGTGAAAGCCTTTCTTCTCGCAGTGACCTTGGTTTTTTTTTTTTTAATGATTTAATTATTTCTATTAGAAAGAGATTTACAAAGAGAAGGCAAGACAGAGAAAAATCTGCTGGTTCTCTCCCTAGTCAGAATGGCCAGAACTGAGCTGACCTGAAGCCAGGATCTAGGAGCTTCTTCTAGGTTTCCCAACAGGGCACAGTGTCCCAAGGTTTTATGCCACCCTCCACTGCTTTTTCAGGCCACAAGCAGAGAACTGTACAAAAGGAACTTCCTGGACATGAACTGGCACCCATATGGAGTGCTGATGATTGCAGGTAGAGAAGAGCCAATTTAACCATGCCAGCCCTGGTTTCCTTTTATTTATTTATTGCCAAAATCTTACTTTCAAATGAAAACCCTATGCACATGGCCTCCACTTTCCAACCATAAGGTAAAAGTCTTATAGTGGGTGCATGTAGTTTCATGGTAAGAGTCCCAGAGGTCCACTTGCATTGGCACTCTTCATAGTAGTCTGCAGGCATCCTGCTGTGGTTCTGGGCTCCTACATCAGCTTACCCCAGACTCCTTGCATGCGGATGTACCTACAGTTGAGTTCTAGCTTAAAATGCTCAACTGTGATTGCAATCAGGATTTCTATTCATGTTTCTCTTCTAACGACATACAATGAGTCATTGTACAAAAGAAATGAGCTTCTAAAGATAATGGGTGAATTACATTTTTTCTTCATGGAACAAGCTTATGAACTTTGGGAATAACCCAGATTCTTGAGGACTGATAAAAAGAAACTATCCAAAGGGCTTCAGCTGTCCATGCAAATGCCAGGGCACAGTTTGCAAACATGTCACAACAGTAAGCTTTGTGGAAAATCTGATGAATTTAAATTCTCACATCATCATAGATCAGAATTAATATACAACTGGGTCAGTTTTAGGTACGGACAAGTCAGAAAACTAACCTCAAGCTTTTCAATTAAACAAATGTGTTGACTTCAAAGGAAGCCTACTTAGCTTACAAAATAACATTAAAATTAACAAAGTAATAAAAATAATCCAAAAATGTTGTGTATACAAGGTTATGTGATGTCTTTTAGGCTCTTCATGGGAGGAGAACATGGAGTAACACTTCTTTCACGGCCATTTGTGATAGTAGAGCTACTTGCCTTCAAAGATGCATCCAAATGTTCATTCCAAATTTTCAGGTGGCATTTCCACTGCCTCTCACTTTACCGTACTCATTCCAAGCATACCCTCTACCACATGCACATTCAGGCTTCACCCAATCAGACACTGACTACCACTCCTCTTCAGGAAAGTCTTCCAAGCCACCCATTAACTATGCTTTCTCTTGCCTCAGCTGCTCCAGGCCTAGCCACCTTCTTTCTCTTTCACTGTCATTCAATACATGATGTCTCCTAGTCAGTCTCCACTCTTTCCGATTGCAGGTTTCCCGAGTAACCTTAGATCGTCAAGACTTCAACTGCTAAATACATTTAAAAATTTTTCTTCTTTCCAAAACTTTTCTTCCTCCTCTTGGTTTTAACATTTTGGTGAATTGCATCACTACCCAACCTTTTTCCAAAGTCAAAAAAGAATCATACCCTTTTTTCCCCTCACCCGCTTTCAAACTCCACACCACAATCCCTAACCCTACGGTCTGGCACACACAGCCATTTAATACCAATCCATCCTGAATCACCCCATTCTTCCCATCCTCCGTTGGCTGATCACCTATGTGCAGGCCGCCATCTTCCTTAATCTCCTGTTTGAATCAAGGTCTCTCCTGCCTCAGCCCTTGCGGTGTGCATTTCTGTACTCCATCCTGTCTAGTAGCCTCTGTCTACTGCATAGATTTCAAACTCTACATTTCAGAAAGAGATTCAACCTTGGTGCATTTCAGTAGGATACAGTACACATTTCCTCAAGAAGATCATAAGAATGGTTTAACCTTTATGAATGATAATCTACTTCAATTCCTACTGGTGCTTAATTTTTAAACACACAGCAAAGTTAAAATAAATCAGCATTTGCTATTATTACTGTATGAACAGCAGTTTCCAAATGACAGTAAGGTACAGAAAAAAAAGAAAGGAAAGGAAAGGAAATATAGAGCTAGAGAGCTTAGGCTGCATTTGTAGCCTAAGCATTTCCACCAGTCTGGGGCAAGTTACATAATTTTCAAATCTCAAAAACTTCATTCGTAAAAATGCAGATAACACCACCTTCTTTGCAATGTTATTGAGGGGATTAAATGAAGCATTTAGAAGGTGCCAAGACACCCAGCTCATGCCCAGTAATTATCTTCTTTTTTCCATGGAAACAATTTATACAGTTTCCAGATCAACTAAAGAAAATCCTGTTTAACTCTCACATACTTAGCACAAAAGCCAAGAGAAGTGAAAGAGCACACAGCCACTATTTACAGATCTTGGCACATTGTTAAGGGGGAGAAGAATAGGCTGGCTTCCTGCCCTTATGGACAGGAACGTCTAGTTAAGGTAACAAGCAAAACTCCCAGTCTGAAGCAATGATAAGGTAAGCCCTGGGCACTGCTAAAAGCAGAGCTATAACATGGGCCTGAAGTCAGGACGTTCGCATGCCAAAAACTTTCTTGCTTACTTTCAGACTCTTCTTTCAAAAATCTGGGCAGAGTTTGGGAAAATAGATTCATAGGGTGATCAACTGTAGAGGGCTCAGAAAATATCAATTTAGAGGAAGTCACACTTCCTTCCTCTTTGCTTGAATCACCCCAGAACTGCCCTGGTAGCCTGGGTTGGCAAGGAAGGTGAAGAACAAAACAAACAGCACACAAGAAGAAAGAAAGCAAAGGGAAAAGAAAAGAAGAAAAACCCCCACCTTGGCAATGGGGATAGAAATGCACAAAAACAACTGCTTGTAAAAAACTTGCAAAAATAGGGAAAGAGTCTGATTTAGAGTACTGGATACTGAGACACAAAGAAATAGTGTCAAGGTAATTCCTGAAGGAAGAAATGCAAGAGAAAGGTGACAAGAACACTCTGTAAAAAAAGCTATCAAGGCCACCTAAATGTTCGGCCACACTTTTCATTTGCTGTTATCTGAACACTGAGTCAGAGTTTGCAGGGGTACTGTGCAATGCCCTTTACATTCTGATCATCATCTACTCCGTACACTCAAGTTCCTAGAGTCAAAGGCACGGTGATATATTACAAGCCGCTTTCCTAGCAGCACAGAAATGGACACTCAGCATTTCAGATAGGTAAGTAACTATGAAACACCAGGACACTTGCAAAAGTTTGTGAAAACAGAAGTTAAAACATGTATATTAGTGCAGGAAGTTGGTGTAACCCCATTTTTTTTTCATGAACCCGTGGCTGCACAGACTTTGAAATTTTTCATACCAAAATAAACCTAGCGGTGAATTCCATGTCCCCTTCATTTTCTGAAGTGCCCTCTTCAATGTCTGTTGAAGAATTTGGATAGCTCCAATTGTTAAATAAAGCCTAATTTTCCAGGCAGAATACAATATCAAGTTTCCTGTCCAAGCAGCACACGTCCATGAGTGACAAAACCCGAAAGAGCACCACATGGACCATGGCTCCTTGGAGGTGCAATAACTCAGATTATAGCTACACATCACTCCACCTCATTCCTTGATGTGTGAATGTAGCCCTGTCTCCCAAGGTGCAACATTCCAATCATTTACTACTGGAATTTACTACTTGAAAGGGCAAAACACACATGCAAATCCATAAAACAAAAGACATTCTGCCTTATGTTCCCCAAGTACAACACTGCTATTGTTCTTACAATGTTAATCATGTGTCTCCTCTTCTTCAAAAATATTATCAAATAATAATTATAACTAACAATTTTAAAAGGTTGAATGGGGGAACAGCAATGGTGGCTCAAAAAAGTGAAAAATACAACAATGAATGTTTTACATGTGATTAAAAACGTATGCAGAAAAATTCACAAAAATCTATACAAAGTTTAATGGTTACTTCTAAAAAATGGAATTACTGGTAATTTTCATTGCTTATATTTTCCTGCATTTCCAGATTTTCTCAAGTATAGAGAACTTCACAGTAAGATTTTTTTTTTTAATTTTAAAGCTCTCCTATATGGATACAAATCTCATGCTAAGTAAATACATTATAGCAAATCATTTCTCAAATTTATTTCACTAACAAACTTAGCTAAATTATATATTTGATGCCTTGCCTTGGAAAATTCTAGTAAGATAAAGAAATATTAGAACAAGCCAAAGAATCACCAAAGCTCTCCATGCTCAGGGTTCCACACAATTATCGATATGGATTGTTCTAGAAGAATGTCTCTTGTTTGCTATACAGATTTTTACTATGTATGTATATAGGTCAAAAAGAACAGTTACTACCTAATAAGATCTCTTCAGACACCTGCTAGCATTTTACAAATGTTCCCCTCCACTGTCATTTTTCACCTCAAGGTACATTTTGTTTGGAGTCCAAACTTCTCAAAATTTATAGTTATTTATTTGACAGTCACAAAAAGAGAGGGAAGGGAGTAAGGGAAAGCGAGCAGGAGAAACAGATAAACACTTGACCCTCCATGCACTGACTGCCTGCCCAAGTATCAGCCACAGCTAGAACTGGACCAGGCCAGAGCCAGGACAAGGTACTCAGTCTGGGTCTTCAACGAGGGTAGGAACCCTAAATTCTTCAGCCAACACAAATTGCCTTCCCAGAATATGCATTAATAGGAAGCTAGGAGTACAGCAAGGATTCAAACTCAAGCACTCCATTAGAGGATGCAGCCATCTCAAGCAGCATCCTAACCAATGTATCTAAAGCAGATCCTTGGACCACAGATTTTACCAATGCCTCATCATTCATTACAACTAAACCTCTTTATTCTCATTAAGAGACAGGGAGGTATGCAAAGTCCTAAATGTTCTAAAACATAAAGCAATACTAAAGGTCATTAGAAGGTTAAGAAAACAGAGAAATGAAATCCATTCCCTGGAGGCCAGCACCTATCATGTGCGTCACTGTGTCCTTAAGGACAGCTAATTTCCTGGAAAAGAATTTTTATTATCCACCTTTATACTAAATCTGCATCTATAAACTTCCAGGTGACCCTGAACCTGACACCTGCAACTACTGACCACTAGCAGCATGAGGTAACAGTTATAGAAACACGGAGTACAGAGGCAACACCAGCCAAACCCTAAGGAGGCGGTCCACCACCTCTACACCCACACAATGCAAGGCTTCTACAGATCTATAAACTCAGAGTTGCAAGAGACATACTTCTTCCAAGCCCTGTTAAAAATAAACCCTGATGTTACATTGCATAGTAGCAGCTTGGACTCAAACACCTGGAGGTTAGCACAAGGTGTCCAAGTTTAAATGCCGATGCATCTAAGCCATGACAAAGAGCTTTCCCAAACTCACCCGTGACCTGGAAACCTCTTCTTGTAGAGGGTGTCTCTCTTGTCCAAACTCAGACATTGAATCAATGCCAGACACTGAAGATGGTGTGGCTTTAGAGGAGTCAGGCTGGTCTTGGGATAAGGATGAGAGGGAGGGTGTAGGAGAAGGCAGCCTCATCACATCTTCTGTGGTTGCCTGTCTCTCAGTGGATGCATTTGCAGACAGGTGGCTTGTTTCAACTTTGGGGGCAGAGGTGCTGACCGAACTGTTCTGAATGCTCTTGATGCTTCTGAAATTTCCATTATACTTCCAACCATTGTCCATCTAAAGAAGGAGACATTGCTTTAAATTGGACATGTCTATTAACTTTATTTTCTGTCTGCACAATACTCATTAACATTTTTAAATGGAATAAGCAACATATACCTCCTGGAGCAAGATATTGCTAAAACCCAGAAATACATTCTTCCACACTAAACACACACATTTTATATACGTTTCTGAAACTCGATTTGCTTCATTTCCTTTATCCTTTTTTACAGGGTTTATCTTTCCCTTTCCAACTTGCAGAAATTGCTTTCATCTAAGAGATATGAAGGCTTTACCTGTAATATTCTTGAGGTCGTTCTTAGGCCTCCATCAATTGCTTTTAATCATGTTAATGCTGTCTGCCATACAAATGTATTAATTTTAAGTGTGAATCAAGTAGAAATAGAGAACCCAATTGGCTTCATTTTATAATTTATTTGTTTCAAAGGTAGAGCAGCAGAGAGAAATTAAGTGATCCTCCATCCCTCTTATGGTTCACTCCCCCAAACACCGTAAGAGAAGCACTTAGGCAAAGAGGAAACCAAGGACCAGGAAGCCCATCCCGGCCTACCATGTGGAGGACAGGGACCCAAGCACTTGAGCTTTCAAATGCTGACTGACAGGATGAAAGTAGACCAGAAGCACAGGCAGGACTCAGTCTTGGGCTCAGACATGCAAAGCAGGCCTCCCAAGCCACATTTTAGCCCACTGGGCCATGATTTCTGACGCTGAATTTAATTTTTTGATTGCTAAATATGTTAATTTTCCTCAATATAATTGTCATGGCTTTGCTGGAGAGTTTAGGCTGGCTTCGCTTATCTCAAATATTGTGGTTTTTTTTTTCTCGATTTGGGGATTATATATTAACAAAACTAAAAGGAAATTTGAATGTTAATTTTAAAATTTAATACTTTCTTTCATTAATTCAGATTGACTCACTCGAGTTGCATCTGTAGTACCTTTTCATTCCAGGATTTTTCACTATTTTATAGCCTTCAAAATTCCAATCTACATAAACATCTGCCTGAACAAGATAAATTTTCATAACTATATTCAAACACATAAAGATATGATGAATTGGGAAATCAGGAAAATACAGAAATTAACATACATATTACTGAAAATATTTAGGCTAAATAAATGAAACTGCTGCTGTGTTGGTCAATAAGAACTGATTATTGGCAACTTTGTATTGTCCGATCTTGGCAGAAATCTTCATTTGAAAAAATTCAATGGTGAGAAATACATGTTCTGCCTCAGAATGTATCATGTTGGGGCCTGTAATGGTACAGTGGGTTATTGTACCCCATGGGACATAAGACTACTCCTCTTCTGATCTAGCTCATTGCTAGCATGCCCAGGAAGACAGAGAAGATTATTCAAAATATCCTGGTTCCTGACACCCACATAGGAGATCTGGACGGAGGTCTGGGCTCTGGATTTCTGCCTGACCCAGCCCAGGCTGCTGCAGTCATCCACAGAGTGAACCAAAGGGTAAAAAAAATCTCTCTCACACTCTTAATTATCCCTTCCCCTCTCCTCCATCTTCCCTCACTGTCACTATGCCTTTCAATTAAACCAATCAAACTTTAAAATGTATTAGCTCTACTTTCACAAAACAAACTTTAATCAACCCTGTCTCACTGCTACACTTTAACCATTTCCAGTATATATCTACAGGCAAAAAATGAAACCATATTCTACATGTTATTTGCACTTGACACATCAATTGTGCACACCTGCAGCCTCTGCACAAGTTTAACATTCTATTCTTTAGAACAGACTAAATGAACTAGGCCCACTTTTACCGTGTAAGATCTGGGGAGCGATGCGGTTCCCCTTGACTGGAAGCCAAAAGGTCTCGCTGTGACCACAGATGTCAACCTGGCTGTATCAGTTTTCTGGTAGCTCCTGGGGAGAGAAGCTGAAACTCGAGGAGCCTCCATTTGTGTGTTCAGTGCATGATCAGGAGACGCAGAGGCTGGACGTTCCCCTGCCGGCTTCTGAGAAGAAAGCTGGAATTCGCCTAGCACACTGTCCTCTCTCTTTGAGAAAGTTGTAGAATCTTCTCCAGGAATTTCCATAGGATAAGCTGGGCCCTTCTGTTCGACTCTCTCACTCTGGTAACTTGATTCTGACAGAGTTACTGTAGGGGCTAGCTCCTTTTGCACTGTCTCGCTCTGATAGATTGTTTCTGATACAGTCAGGCTTGTGGGCAGCTCTTCATTGTTGAACACATCATCAGAAGAATACATTTTTCTTAGTGTACTTGTAGACCTCTCATGTTCGTATTCCCTTAGAAGGAAACATCCCAACATCAAAGTTATGCATTTCATACCAGATGTGGAGGAATAGTAATTAACATGTAAAATGAGGCTGCAAACAACACTTTAATCAGCATAACACTAACAGCATGTGACAACATATATATGTGTGTGTTTTATATTTAATGCCACACCAAGAAATGCTGAAGGAAGTTGACTATTAAAGAGGTTCACAATGCCTTACAAGGATTTTTCTTTAATAATCAGGAGATTTTTGTAATAATAGGGAAAATTTAATAGGAGATTATTCATAAGGTTAGCCATCATTTTATAATTCTTGCAAGATTAAAACATCATACACATAATTGATTTATATTTAAAATTTTCAAAGATGCGGATTCTTAATAACATTCTGAACTTTTTCTCTTGTATAAAATTCATAATCAGTGAGTAAAAAAGACTCAGGCTTTGGCAAGAGTCAGTAAAGAGCTCCATACAGCTTGCTAGTCCTTGTATAGACAGTTGTTATGAATTAAAAATCACTTCATAAACAAACTGAAACAGCCTCATCTTTAAGTAAGATTTGCTATTATCTCTCACAGTCTTTCTGTATGGCGTTTGATTTAATAAAATCAAATTTATTGTTGACTTTTCCCACACAAAGAAGCTTTGTCTAATTTTGTCTGCCAGTGTATTTCCTTTTTAACATTATTCATAAGCCATATTTGCCATCTCCTTGCACTATCTATGTGCCAGTGTTTCACAAACAACTGTTTTATAGGAAAGCTCAAATTTAATCTTGATCCTGTATATTGCAACATGAAGAATAAACAAACCTATGAATTAATGGCCACATAGACTTCCTTTAAAATATAGTTTATTCTACAGAGACACATAATCACTTTGTTACACTTTATACAACTTTGTTAAAAAGTTACTCTGACCACTGCACTCATAAACTTCCTCTATAAGGATAAAGAGTATTTCCTACATCACTATAGCAAATACATTCAATTCTGCATATGAAGTCATGATGCTAAAACAAAAGAAATAATGAACTTCTATTTTAAGCATTCATTTCTTTGATTAACCCATAACACCAGTTAAACTCAATTTTTCTCACTGCACAGCAAAATCCTGAAAGTTTTGGTGCCTATTTGATTAAATTTCACACAGATGAACACTCCATATCACACTGTACCTACCCAAGCCATTTTGTGCACCACAGTTCCCACCCGTCCACTTTCACCCTGATTACCTGTCCTGCAGCATCTCCTTAAACGTCTTGGAGCTCCTTGCAGACTTCTCAAGAGCCTGCTTTTCAATTTCCTCTCTCTCCTCCTTTTTCTTCTGTAGATCTGAAGTGTAACTTTTCCGCCGGTCTTTCCATTTTGCAAGGTCCTGGGAGAGAAATCACATCAGCACTGGCATACCTGCATTGGTACACACCCTTTCTAGCACAGAAAAAGCACCAGAGGATCCAGTTACATCACTGAAACTATTCACTCCCTCTTGATGCCAACGTGCCCTAATTCCGCTTTTTATAGCCAGTGTTTCTGTACCAAGACTTTATCTTGTGAGTCTGTCTGAAAAACCTGACCTAATAAGAGAGTCCCCATTTTTGTTCTCCCAAGAAAGGCCTGCCTCTTTGCCCATTTCACGGAGAATGCTAAATGCTTGTAATGAGGTGCCAGATCAGACAGATAAGGAACTGTTTCAAATTCATTTTTATCTCGCTCCAACAGCCTGTTACATGAAGCAACACGTCTCACTGGCAAGACCCAAACTTAGAAATGCGATTGCAATGTTTTAGCTGGACACACACTCACTCTTTTATTTCACAGACAAGCTCAATCCCTACCTTGAGGTAGGCCTGGGGCTGGGAACTATAAACCCTCAGATGAGTAAGACATACTCCCTTCAAGGAACTTTCCATGGAGAAGAGTAGCAGACATGTCAATAAAAGTTCAGGGATGAATGAGCCTGTGTGGCTGCACAGCGTAGGTGAAGAGCTTCCTAAAGCAAGCCGGCAAGGCTATCTCAGCAAGGCCAGTGTGGCCGGGACCTTCCTGAGGATGGGGGAGTTAAGTGGGGGAATGCAAAGACAGTAACTGCCACATGAGTCGCGACAAGAAAAGTCATTCAAGAAGAAAAGACTTCTTTCTCATCTCCCTAGGACCACTGAGTGTAAATGAGCAAGGCCACCTCAGCACAATCAACCCAATTCAGCTTTGCATGACAGCTTGCAATCTAGGTTGTAGTACCACCCAGACTGTTAAGACGTTTGGACAGTTCTAGCCTGTTCTATGTCTTCCTTAGAATCAGCACAATGAACTGGAATGCACCCTGCAATCCTTAAACAGAAGTACAGCCAATGTCTTAGACTAACTCGAATCTCACTCAAGGACACTCCAAGCAAATTTGGTTTACATTCTTTGGGAGTAGACAGAGCTACTTCTGCCACAATGTCATCTTGAAGTCAATATGAATTATTTCCCAAAAGAACAGTAGTTTGACTTGAGTCCTGTGGGGTAACAGACAACAAGTTCATCTGATTTGACCTAAAGGATAACCACTATTGCCATAGCAAAACCATCACCGTGCTTTAAGGAAAAGTGGTATTAGATTCTTGATTCTTGACAACTGAGGTCTCAATTAAAAGAGAGTGTGGAATTTAGAAACAGAGCCAAGCAAAAGGACTTCATCACTGTAGACTTTCACTCCTTTGAAAAGTAACATTTACCTTCTCTGGCCCTTTGGTTCATGCTACAACATAATTCTCCCACCAAATACTTGTCTTCAAATTTCTTTGGGTTTATGTACAAAGTCTGTTTGATATAGTTTCTTATAATCTCTCATTTTATAAATGTTTCCTATGCACAAATAGGTCAAGCTTCGGTCTCCAGGATCAAAGCTACCAACCAAACTTACATCTATAGAAACATCTGTGAATGCATCAGCCCTGGTATAACATCTTAGTTTTCAATTCAAATTGGACAATGACTTCTTCAGCCAAAACATGACTCTAACAAATTTCTTATCTCTGTCCCATTTACACAACTTTAGGATTATTTTCCTCTTTCCCTATGAATGCAAAGATCGTTGAGACTCCTCCTGCCTTCTTCAATTTCAACCCTGAGCAAGGTCTTCTAGCTATCAAAAGCATAATCAATAGTTATACCTCAAATTCAACCACCAAACCATGACAACAAGTTCAGCATATTGCAAGGAAGCAGCTTCAAGTTTCTGAGAACTCAGAACACTGCAGATAAACATACTGCTTAGGATGGCTTTGAAAATATGCAAGAGTAACAGGCCAAAAAGGTTTAAACATCCTTGTCGAGAAGTTGGTCACTTTCTCTTCCAAACTGAATGCTTTACTCTTGAGTATATTTAAGAGAATCAAAGAGAAGCTCTGCCCCCCGACTCTCCCCTCTCCTATTGTGGAGGATACTCACATCTTGCCATTTCTGGTCTTGCTCTTTCAACTGTGACTTTATTTTCTGCATCTCTTCATAACGCACCTGACGCATATGCTGCACATCTTCCGCAGTGACATCACTCATGGACTTGCTCCTACAACACAAGCACTTGTGATTGCTACAGTTCACGTAAGCAGACTTGGGGTTGAGACACGCAGGTTGGACTTAGGCTTGGAAATTCCATCTAAACTTTGCCTGTATGACCTAGACACCTGAGTGATAGCATCACAGAAATACCAGAGATAAATGGCGTTTTTTCCAAAACACAGAAACAAGATGCCTATGCTTGGCAGATGTGATTTTTTTTTTTTTTTACAAAGTGCCTAGCTGAAACCTACACAATTTTTTTTCTAAAACATAACCATCCAATATTTATACACAGAAGAATCAATGCATAAAGAGTCACTTAAAAGTGACTATCGGTCACTAGAACCGCCTACATTTTTCTATCTCCCACACAGATCATCTTTTAAGGGCTGGCTGCCTTTTCTGGGCACTTATTAAATAATTTAACGATTACCTGATATTTTCTCCTCAGGTTCGATACCAGGAATGTAGGTTCTACAGCCTCTCAAAGGTTCTAAGATCTGCCCTCTCACTGCTCAGAACATGTGCTCTAAGCACCACAGGCAATTCCTAAAAATCAGTTACAATCAACCACTTCTGTGGGCCTCTTCAGGAAGACAGCTTTTTTATTAACTGCTTGACTCATAAAATCTCCTAGAAAGAGGATGAGGCATTAGCTCTTGAAGAGCCAAATCCAGAAACGAAGCAATCATCTGAGCAGGATGTTGAATACAAGGTAAATTCCGAATACACACACACAAGTACCAGAGTTGGTAAATTATGCAATGAGAAAGGAAGACTGTGGAAAGAAGCTGAATCTGAATATTTAGTAGGTAAAGAAAAAGATGAGGAAGAGCTTTTGAAGATGAGGTACCCACAGAGCTCTTCCTACTGGCTTTCATGCTGTAAAAACAGTCTGTATCATCTACTTGGGTGCCTAAACTTGGCCTTCCTCACAATTTTGTTTCCCCATTACTTTTATGCACACTCACCCTTGGCCAGCTCAGGAATTTATTCATGTAAATGACTCCCAAATCTACAAAAGCTTAGGGCCCATGTGATTCATTTCCAACTGCTTGTTGAAAAAACATTTCAGCATGGACATCCCCTTAGGTCCATGAAAAAGGATCAGTTGAAATAATATCTAGAAGGAATTTTGTAAACTGTAACTCATTAAACATATGGTTCTTATCAACACGGCCAGGCTCAATCTTGTTCCCAAACGTGCTTTTTTTCTTGTAGCTGTTAGCGGTGTGGCCTGCCTTCTACACATCCACATCTGTAACTCACAACCATTTTTTTTTTTAACCTTTGTTTCTCCCTTCTCCACTTTCAATTAGCCATTAAGGCCTCTTTCATTCTGTGTCTCTTTCCACCTCTACTGCCAACACCCTAGATCAGAGCGCAGCCAACTTCTGCCAGGACTTCCAACAAACTGACATAAATCATCACCCTGAGAGGTCTCCTTGCCAACTCCATAGAATATTTATCTTGTGAAACACTAATTCTCTGAGGTCCCTACTACACTACACTGAATGACCATACCCAAATTCATATTCATTCTCCTGTACAGATTCAACATGAGATTGGTGCCCTCTGCAACCTGCTCACGTCAGAAAGGATGAACAACATGCTTACAGACTTCAGTGGGAAAATCTGCAGACATCTGCCCAGATTGTCCAAATTCTTTCATGCCAACCTCTAAGATAAAAAGGATTAACAACTCTCACCACTTTCACAGTTACCACCCAAGTCTCTCTGGATTATTGCTGTAAGAATCCTGTTTTCAGCCCTTCTGGTCTATACCATATTCCCAATCAGAAGCCAGAGAGATTCTTTGCAAATTGTACTCAGGTCATAGCATGCTCCTACTCCATGCCCACCAGTATCTTCCCAGTATGCCCAGGTTAAGAGCAGGTCTTCCTACACATGTAAGGTCTGACAATATCTGGCTCCTCTCTGTCCCTCTGAACTCATCCTCGTAACACCCCCATTCCAACATCACTCTGCTCCAGTCAAGTGGCCTCTATGTTTGTGCTCAAAGGTCTTGCTTCTCCCATTGCTCTCCTATTTGCCTAGAATGTTCCTCAATGAAATGTTCACATAGCTCATCTCACATCTGTTTAAATGTTACACAGGTCCTTTGTTCCCTGATCTCCCAGAGAAACAGGAAATGCTCCTCCCTTCTGGTTCACACAGTCCTTTAGTCTTCATCATCACAGCATTTATCATCTGTGTATACTTTTTTACATACCACTTCCCTACCTGCAACATGACAAAGCTGGAATCCTGACTCATCTGTCTTTTGGTCTATTGCTGAAAGGGGAGTCTGGCAGTAAGTGCTCAGAAAGTGGACTGCATGAGTGATCCAGATAGCATTTGACTACTTGGATGAAGTCTTCCCAGCTCCTCAATATCTAAAGTGTTCTGTCCTTCCTTCACCTGCCCCAGTGCTTCAGCTCCATCTACTCCTTTCATATTGCCTACCCCTTAGCCCCCGGTTACACACAGGATGTGCAAGTGTATTCAGTTCCTCTACCTCCCACCTGTGCTGCTGTCGATGGGGAGGTCTTAACACAGCACCAGGCATACTGGATAGACTCAATATATCTGTAGTAAGAATGAAATAAGATCAATCTTTTTTAAAAGTCTTATCCTAAACTTGAAATGCTTTCAATTTCTTTTGTGAGCTAAACCTTTGTGCTCCAAAGTACTTTAAAAAGGAAGTCTTGTGAGATTTACTAAAGAATATTAAGGAAAAGTAATATGAATATGGAACACATGAGCACATTTGTGAAAACATAAAGGTCTACCACTATATCTAACCAGGTGTGAGTACACATAAAACTAATGCGTGAATGTGAAAACAAATATGTACTTATGTCATAGCAAGAAAAGAATGAGGCTATTCAATCTTTACTAAAACAGGCTCAAGAACAGGAAGCAGGAAACATTCTCAGGGACACCAAGGCATGAGGAGAATCTACCTGGATGATGCACTCATAAAGAGGAAAACTTGGGTCCAGAGTGATTTCTCTTGCACTCTGCAACAGACTGAAAGGACCTTGAACTTCCCTTGGGTGCTCTTTAGTATACACTCTCCTGCACTGCAAAGTGAAAAGTGTCCTTCCATAAAATGTGCTCATCGGGAACAGGGGCTGCACCTGCTTCCTGTGCTCCCCAGAGGGCCTCCGCACCAACACAGTGAGCCAGACACAGCCTGAAGTAGACAAGCTGCCGTGAAGGCAAGAACGGGAGCTCAATTTATTTCCTGGGGAATATCAGGTTACCCGCAGAAAGCCCAGCACACCCCAGAGTAGGTTAGGCAGGCAGCTGAAGGCCACTGGAAGAGAGGGTTCCGTGTCCAGCTGTGGAACAGGTTTTAGGGTTTTTCCTGACACGGGTGAATTCACTTCTCTGAGCCTCAAGTTTATTCATCTGCTGTGTGAGAACTGGACAAGGCTGTGCTAGGTAGAAAAAAAATCATCTGCTGCTACACACCAATTCTCATTAAAGCTAATTGATGGGGCAGGAGATCCCAAAGGCTAACTCTCTCAGCTGCTTCAAATTAGAGAGGTCAACCCAGATCACAGTGATACAATCTAGAACTTTGGGAGTACAGGAGTCTCTTAGGCAACGCAAAAAGAATTCCTTCCTTATCAGCACTGGTAGCATAAAATTAAACTTCTAACAGCTGGCTGTGTGCCAGAGGGCGTGGATTAGCTCACAAGGCAAACCCTCATCCGTTCCTGCAACACACAATTCTGCATCCTTGGGAAAGTTGCAGTGTCTATTTCTCTGTCTCCACCTCTCTAAACCACAAACACCACCCACCTGCCTCCCTCACAGAGTAAGATAAGCAGAGAGACAGTCAGGAGAATGATTTCGCAAAATTACAGACAACTGCACAGCAGCAGCATGTTGAGCTGAATGAAGGGCTAGTCACCAGCAAGCCACATACTCCTCAAATGCACATTAATCCTCCATTCACTTTTATTTGGAGAGGATCCAACTTAGCATTGCATGTAGATACTGTAAACAAAAACAAAAACAACAACAACCAGAAAAAAAGAACAGAAAAGTACAGGCCTAACATCTTTCCTTTCAGTTGAAAAGAAACTTTTAAAACAGCCTTTATATGAAAGGCATGAGAATGGCAATGTTTAATTAAGCCCACGAGGCTGGTCATCTACTATGCCCCCACAGCCTTTTCACAAGCAGCAAGGCATAGTGTTTGCTTAACTCATTTTCAGAGCATTACACATGAATATCTCAGGAATAAGGAATGGAAAGTTCCAATATGCAACACATTTCCCCAACTGTAAAATCAATGATTTTTCTATTTTGCACAGAAAATAGAAATTCCAGAACACTACATTAATGGCTCCCAACTTTCAGAGTTGGGTTTGGGTATACTTACTTATGTACCTCTCACCATCAGGGATTGTAAAAACTCTAAGAGCAATCAATGCAAAGCCTTGGTAAGCAGCTTAGAAATCATCATAAACTAGAAAGCTAGGATACTACAATGAGGACTTTCCACTTACATAAACTTATTTTAAATTCAAGTCTCAAGCACTGCACTAGTGACATATGGAGGCCAGAAAATTATTTGTTGTTGGCACAACCCTAACTACAAAGGAATTACAAGCCACGTGTGTGAGAGACACATCCTCTGCTGTTGGTAATAAAAAAGGGTCTCCACATTTGACCAAATGTTCCCTGGGGTTAAAAAAAATCTCCAGAAGGTAACCCATATAAACTTTTCTCCCTTTCTTTTTGCTAACTTCTGTGTCTTCAGATTCGACAGAAGGTGTGGGTAAAATCTATAGGTGTCTTATATTAAAGTTTCTCCATGAATCAGTGTTCATTTCCTGGCATACTACTGGCATACCCAATGACGTTATCATGCTACAGAATTATTTTTATATCCTCTTACAGCAAGTCTTGACATACCATTAACAGCTCCTGTGAGAAGGCAACACCAAACTTCAAATTTTTAAAGTTTCTACAGACATAAGTCCATGCAGCATGAAAACACACACATGAGAATAACAGCCACATTCAAAGCATCTTATTTAAAATAAACTGACTGGTGTTAAAAGTCAAACAGAAAGCAAGCCAGAAATTAGTAGCTTAAGACTTCAAAAACAAAGTGCACATTTCTCTTGAACTAATCTGCACCAAAAAGAAAGTATTCATGTAATAGATCGGTTTTTTTTTTCAATTATAAGGTATTGTGTAAAAGTACTTTCTCAGGCAGGTATGCCCAGCTTGACAATGCCCATGATGTTCAGGGAAAGATCATCCAGCATAAATATGAAACAAGCTCTAAATTAAAAGCCTAAATGTAATCCAACTTAAATTTGTATTTTATTTTCATTGCAGATCAGCTCAGGGACTCCAGTAACCAATACGAAAGTTATCCTATATTTAAGTGTTCTAAAACATTCTTCAGTTTTCTGAAGACTCGCTTATACTACTTTCTATTATTTGACAGGTCATGCATTATTCATCAATCTCAACTTACAGGTACTCTTGCTTTATCGGTGTGGTTGCCTTCCCACCAAACTGCATGCAGAATTGCCTTTAAAACAAACACGGTACTACCCACACAGCTCTCTGACTACTCCCCAGAAAGCCTTTGCTGCTGCTGCCATAGACTACACGAACACTAGTTTCTTGAGTATTGCCATTTAGATTTGGTTTGGGAACTTTATCATGATAATGTGCCCTGTACTAAGGAGGAACATGCACAGTTACTGAACCACTTCTATTTGTTTGCCTTCCCATCCAGTATCTGACCTGTGGGCCCTTATATCCCCTTTAACAAAATCAACTACTCCTGTCACCTACTGATATTACAAAATCATATTGAATCAGCAAATGAAAATTCTCCTGAAAATTATTCAAAACGCCTAAAGCTACAAAGAGATATTTTAAAAATCTAATTAAAATAGCTTTCCCACAATGAGCTAAGAATAGTAAATGCTTAAGTGTCATGCTAACAGTTGCCTGGTTCACTCTCACAGACATTAAAGCACAAGAGGATCTGGATGGATGATAACATGCCTTGTCTAACACATTGAACTAGACTGGTAATGTGATTTTTTAAAAGCAGTGGTTGAACATTTCCAATTAGCTGTTTGTGGCTCAAATGTATTGTACCCTTTCACATCTGGAATGGTTATCTTGCTAGAAATTTTCATTTTAGGATCTTCCAAGCTTACTAAGCTATCAAAATTATCAACAGCTACCAAAATCAGATGTGCTTAAAAATAAACAAGTAGTAGCAGAAGAAGCTTTTAGCTACTAGGACTTATACAGATTAAAATATGTAACATATTTAAACTTACTATTACTCAAAAAACATTGGCACTCAGGTCACCAAGTTACACTAAATTTCATAGAAAAATATTAAGATATAGCCATCTGCAGAATTCACAAGAATATGTTATGAAACTTCAATTATTCTGCAAATGAAAACTGCTTCCATAAAACCAGCTTTATGTGTTGTCTTGTCTAGCAGATTAGACAAACAATTGACAAAAACAGAATTGGTCTTGAATATAATGCTTGATTATTGAAAACTAATAAAATTTTAATTCTTTGCCATTTTGGAAAGCCAACTTGGCTCTGTATCCACAGCCATGTTGCAAGATTTCTCACCAGGAATCTTGAAACTATTCCCAGACACTACTACAGGAAAGATGGTGCCACTCACCAGCCCCACCCAGACACTGCTACAGGAAGGATGGTGCCCCACTGACAAGCTTCCTATGAGTTGGATTTATGGGCAGTATCGATTATATACATTCTAACCTTGAATAACTAAGTAGTTATTTGGGCTTCAGCATCCGGAAATCATAATTTTAGTATGAGTAGGAGCCAAACAGCAAGTAAATACAGCCGATCTGGGCAAGCACGATGTTACTTTTAATCAATGACATTTTTTAACGAGCTCAATTTAAATTTTCTAATGCAGCAAAGCTATGGCTTTCACATAGCATTTCATGCACTGGACATTCAGACACAGAAGTGTTACAATTAGTTAAAAAATTAATAAAAATGTCCCTTTAAAAACATCTCATGCACTACACATAGCACTCCTATTTAGTGACATGCCAGAACAGAAGTACAATGACAAACTATGCAAAAGACAAACAATTCACAAAGCTTTTTTTTGTGAACCATGAAACTTACCCATTCTCACCATAAATCTTTTGAAAGAGTCTAAGGAACCAGAAAACCAAAAAAATTAAAATTAAAAAAAAATCTAGTTGGAATACTCAGTGTCTTCCTAAACTCCAAAAAAAAAAAAAAATCTATTTGAAGATGGACAAATCCGGAAAGGATATTTCTACATCCACATCTTGATAATGCCTCAGGTTCTCACTGATCTCATATTTCAAGAAACTCAAAGCAAAATGAAGGGTTTCTCAATTCATGCTAAACCCCAACAAATCCATCAAGTCAGAAAGGTTTCCGGCTGGTCAGGAACTGGTACATTACATCTGAATCTACTAATTTGATTCAACCTATTCAGATTTCTCCATCTCCAAATTCAACAAAGTCCACATCTATCAAAAAGGGAAGATGTATACTGCAAATTATCAAAATAGTCAATTATACATATGTAAAATTCAGCAAACAATGATTAACGTTCATGCATTTTAACACCAAAGTTTGCAATGAACTTCATGATGAAAATGACTTATAAACTGACAGTCCAATAAACCTAGATTAAAAACAAAAATCTAGTTAAATGAAATTTGCAATGCTATATTAAAAGTTCAATTTACTCCCCAAGAGACATTCCAAAATAAGAGAAACATACTAAACCAAACTCTAACCAGACTATTAGAGTCATATGAGGACATGAGAATAAAATTCTGTAAACATAACTGGAACACATCTTTAGGGAATTTCACACTGCAGAATAGTACCACAAGCTGGAGACCAAAGGCAAGGTTTGTGTGTACCACTTCTTAAATGGGCCTAAGGAAGAAATCTGCAAACACAGACTTGCACACTTTCCATGAAATGACCCAAAGTTTCTCAAGGCAACACAAGTTTTTACAGGATGCTTCCATACAGCACGCGACATGCAGGGTGGAGCAGCAGGAGGCAGATTTTTCACACACACCAAACGATGATCCATCACAAGCAAAACCCTAGCAGAAACACAATCTGACCTCTCCACCATCAGCCGCTTCTTGTACCGGCGCCGGCTGGCCTCGCGGATGGCCTCCCATTTCTCTAAGTCGGCCTTACTGCAAGGACCAGGAGTGAAGCTCACAGGAGGCACGGTCATCCCCAGCTTCCAAGACTGGATCTTACGAGCCAACATGTCATCTTTCTTCCTCCCATACGAAGGAACTAATATCCTACAGCTAGTACTTATTTCTTTGGGGGGACATGTCCTTTCAAGCACACTGAGAAATCTGGCTTGAATTTCTGGAGGAAGAGCCCAGGGTTCAGGGAAAGGGACTGGTTGGTATCTATCTGGGGCCCCAGATAGAGGCACTTCTTTCTTCTGTGCTGGCATTCGACGGACGATCATGTCGTCTTTTTCTAAATCCGGGAGTACAAGTTCCCCTTCTCTACATTGCAAAATTATATCTCGCTCGACAGGATCATCTTGTTCAGAGTACCTTCGAAAGTCCTCAAAGGCTCGGAGAACACACGGATTTGCATGGAAAGCCCTAGTCTTTCTGACAAAGAAGTCATCATTCTGTAAGTCAGGATCCAGGGCTGACAACTCCAAGTCCCCTCTTCCATGGCCTGGTGCCTGAGAGAGATTCCTTCTGCGTGTTATGAGCCTTGGGCCAGAAGTGGGATCAATTCTGACATTTGTTTCAGAAGACAAGATGTCATCAGAGTATGTTTGGAAAGCCTGAAGCAATAAAAACTGACTGGAGCATAGGAAAGAAAAAGGAAAAATCTTATTAAGTTTGAGCAGAAAAGGTCATTAGGTAGCAGAGCAACTTGTCAGTTCCTGTGGCTAACTACTTTAGGAAATCATAGAAGGACTCTTGCTAGGAAGACAGATGAGGGTTTAAGGCTGTCACCCTTTCCTCTCCTGCATACTATTTAAAGGAACACAAGCAGAGCACATTCCTCAGGAAAGGTGAGCACCATTGGGACCAAGAGATGGACCTCAATGTAGAGCAGGTTCCACCTTCCCAGCACAGTCTGACACCCTGATATTGCTTGCACACTCACAGACCATACATAATACCTAACTCTTCATTTCCCACCTTCCCCTCAAAGGAATGACCCTGGAAAGCTATAAGCGTTATACATCATGCACTTTGCATAGCAGGCTCTTGTAATAAGTAGAAGTAAATAAAAACACACCACTCTGAATACTTAGAAAAGATCTTGAGTAATCATTTCTCTGCCTTTGTCTAACAGGCTTGCTCTTCCTAGTTTCTATACCCAATTCCTTTGTCCACAATTTCACGCATAGTTCAACTGTAAAATAAGGTGCTCTTTCTAAAGTTTTGCTGAAGTGCCTTTCCAAAATAACTATGTCCTATGTAGACATACTGCACATTACCGTGCCAAAGAATGCTGGATACTACAAATGTCTAAGCTCACATGCTCACACACATAACAGTATGCTTTTGTACAACATCTAGTAAGTGCATGATGGTTCATGATTCAGTGCGGTTAGGTCCTGGTTAATATAGCAGCAGAAGAGGACAGAGAGGGTGTCTAAAGCCAGACCCCAAGCAGGCAGGCTTATGCAGACAGGTGCACCTGGGCTCGTCCGAAGCACCGCTGCCTCTCCTGGCTGAGTGTGTGTCCCGGGATTTTGTGGCCCGTCTGGTAGCCAGTTCCAACAAGACTGATTGTCGTTGACGGGTGCTGTCTAGCCTATGCTCTGCTCTTTGTATTTTACTGAAAATGCTGGAGCTTCTGTCACAGCCCAAGTCGTCATCCTCCAAGTCTGAATTCCATCTACTGTGAAGTGACACGAAGGAAAGGGGTGAGGGGAAGAAGGAGACAGACAGCAGCAGGAGGAGATGACTACATCTAGAAGATGCCTTTTGAAGAGCCAGACCCTAAGGCTTCCATGTAAGCAAAAACTGGTTTCACACACAGACCTTCTGTGGATTACAGAAGGGAAATTAGCCTCTCTCATCTCTCCCACTAAAAATGCACACACAATGTAGCCAGCCTGAGAGCTGAATAAACGCTGGAGCAATAGGAACATGCATGGACAAACCTGAATCCCTGAAATTCTTTATACCATGGCTTATAAGTTTCCCTTTTTAGTCTTTTCCAGTTCACGTCTTCTGGGATCCAGCATTTAGGGAGAAACTGATCAATAGAAGTCCCTGGGTTTGGTACAACTGGACTTAGCTTTCGCACATAGAGGTCATCCTTGACAGTGTTGGGAACATTTGTTGCTTTTTCTTGTTCCTCTTCCAAATAACAAGAGGAGTCTGAAGTTCCTCGTTCTGCCGGCCAGTGCTGTACACTGCTGCCCCAAGTTCTCCTCTGGTTACTGTTCAAAACATCCAACCAGTTAAGTTACAGCGTGAGCAACTGCTGAGACAAACATGCTTCCTGGCTCACAAAGTTTGCATCACTGTGAATGAAACAGATTAATTCCCACTCTCATCACCACAGCCCCAAGGACCAACCCGAGGCATTACGTACAGCATTTTAAAAAGGTATTAGCTAGATACGCATGGGCCAAAAATACTACATTCCAAGCCGTGTTGAAAGGAAGACAAGTCACAAACCATTGTGAAGTAAAACCAGCAGCATGAGAGACAGCCAGATCCAGGGCCAGCACTTCTGGCCTCTTCGGCGTGTACAGCCTGTGGCTAACATGTCAGTGGGAGGAAAGATGTGCAGACAAGTTAGCAGAAGTGATTTTCGAGATACAACTCTTGGGCCTCCTTTTCACTTGGAATCCACATACTGCTGGCCAAGTCACCGCAAACCATGTCAAGTGGCCTTCGTTCTTCCTCAGAGTTCAAGCTACTGCTGAAACCACATGCCACCTTCAGATTAGAAACCCCACACTCTGCTCTACTAATGTGATGAGAAATTAAAGGAGATTTTTTAGGGGATCCACTAACATCATTCACAATGGGGTGAAGGGTGGGTGTGAGGTGAAAGAAAACAACAGAGCACAGCTCACAATGATCAACACCTCATGTAAATCATGCAACAATCACAAAAATATCAGTAAGCTGAAGGCACGCATTTATAGTAAGACCTAGCCAATCATCCGCTGACACTCTAAAACCGAATTATCTTCCAGATAGATACGACTCGAAATAGAGGTAAGGACAAAAAAACCTCATTGGTGGAAAATTTAATACATCACCTAGGAAACATATTTAAGAGCCATTCTTCTAACACATTTACATATTCTCCCCTTCCACACACACATGCAGAATTCACAACTCAAATCACACCACATCCCAGTACCTGGAAAATGTTCCATCTGCTTCTGTGTAGACTGGGCTTGCCCAGCTCCTTCTGTTATCCTCATTTTTGTCCGGTTTTTTCTTCCTCAAGGGCGCTGGCATATAGAACGGCTGTCGACTTTTGTTGGGTAAAAAGCGATTGAATGGCAGAGCCGACTTTGGTTCAATAGCCAAAACCCTTCGATAGGACATATCATCTTTATTTAAATCCTGCATTTTGAATATGAGCTCAGAATCCGCTTCACTTTCAGAACCTACAAAGGCGGCACAAGAATTTGCTTTAGTCTCCAGACTACTGGACTACTGAAACCCGCACAGCAATGCCTACGTTGCTTTTCCCTTGGAAACCCAGCACTGCTATTGTGAACTACAGGGAATATTTTTAGAAATTTGTCATGAAGTTGAGATAAGATCCATTAGGAGGAACTTGTTTTGCATACGGGAGGCACAGCCGGCGCATTCTTCTGCTGTTGCATTTTCTGAGCACAAAAAAGCTCCCAATTCACTGAGGAATTCCTTTGTTTCTCAATCATCTTTTCCTCTGTGATTTTTTTTTTATAAAAGCGGTTGATGTGATATACATTAGTAAAACCCAGCAACCCAGTCAGAGACAGCAAATAAAATGCAGCAACCCAATCAGAGACAGGTAAGATGCACTGACAGACGTATTTCCAAGTATGCATGCAGCTGTCAAAGAGCCATCGGGAAAGAGAGAGAGAAGGACACAGAGCAGCCAAAAGCGCACAAAGTGGTCTCAGAGATCCTCATGAGACCCCAGTGAACACTACATACAAGGTTATACTGAAGGTCACCTAAAGTCCCAAAACTCATGGCTTCTTCTCAGAGAACCTATGGAAATGGTTTTTCAGAATTCTGGGTTTTAACACAATCCAAAACCCATTGCAGAAAAACACCCTTCAACACACCTCAAGGTCATAAAGATGTAACCAGTAATTCACTCTCTTCCAAAAGAAATGTATTCCTGAAGGCTCAGAAGCACAAAGGATTAGAAAGTCACACTACCAGTCCACACTGAGTGCTGTCCTTCCTGCCCAGCTCGTCCCCCTGCTGCCTAGACCTCAGTAAAGAGGGACAGAGATGGTCACCTGCTTTCCTTCAGGGTTGTTCTTGAAGCTGGCTGTGTGGAACAGCTGACAGTAATGGGATCTCCACAGCCAGAGCATCCACAGCAGTCACGTGAATTAAAGGTCTTTTCATCTTCTTCCTCCTGCCTAGCAGGCATCTACAATCAATATCATAAAGGACAATCTACAGGAAGTGGATGAACAGCCAACCATGGGTAAGTAGAGTCAGGGCAAGAAGGGAGATTAACTAAGCAGCAAGGATCAAGAGGATTAACAGGAAGTATTCAGGATCTTTAAAATAAGAAAAAAAAAAGCTTCCTAAACAATAATACATCTTGTTCTTATTTCCAATAAATGTACCAAAGAGTCTTGCCAAAATCTGTATATGTGGAAGGTGAAAAATAAGAAATATACTACTCCCTTTTGAATTTTCAAAGTCTTTTTATAGTGTAGTACAGTGCTCTGTGGAGTTTTTGTTTGCTTACATGTCACACTACATGGAAGAGTTTTCATGAAAAATTAAGGAATTTTACTTCTCAATTCTTCTCATCCTAAAAATGTTATACTAGATTGTACTGATCATCGGTTTGGGACTACAAGGACAGTGGAGAGCAGCAGAATTTTAACAAATTACAAAGGTTCACCATACCGGTACCTTACTTCCCTACACCAAGATTCTTTTTTCTGCCCATTTGTAGTTACCAAGACTTCTCTGTTACACTCTTCAAAAACTGTCTTCATGTGCCAGTGCCATGGAATAGTACATTAAGCCTTCTCCTGTGGGGCTAGCACCCTGTATGGATTAGAGTCTCAGCTACTCCACTAGTGATCCAACTCTTTGCTAATACACCTGGGAAGAAAGAGGAAGGTGGCCCAAGTCCTAGAGTCCCTACACGAGATGTGGGACACCAGAAGCACCTCCTGGCTTTCAATTTCATACCAGTCTACTCCAGTCACTGTAACTACTTGAAGAGTGAACTAGCAGATGGAAGATCTCTCTCTCAATCTCCATCCCCTTTCCCAAATCTTCTAACTGCCTTTTAAACAAAAGTAAATCCTTTAAAAAAATCTTCAATCTATTTATTTGAGAAAGAGAGAGGGTACCTGCCAATGCTCCCATCTGCTGGTTCACTCCAGAAGTGTTTCCAATACTCACGACAGTTGCAAACTCAGTTCAGATCTCTCTCTCCCATGGGGAGTAGGAATCAATCACTTGAGCCACTGCCATTTTTCCCAAAGTGGCATTAGCAAGAAGCTGAAGTCAGAAACTAGAGCCGAGTATTACACCTAGGCAACTCAACATGGAACACAGGTATCCCGTGCAATGTCATGACCCCTAAGACTAGTACTTGTCCTTACTACACTCTTTAAGCAATGTCTGCAATTCCTTTCTGCTTCTAGGGCTTTAACCCATTTCTTTAAATGCCACCACCTTAACAGGAGACGTCCCATAAAGAGCATGGTTCAAGTCCCAGCTGCATCACTTCAGATCTAGTTCCCTGATAATGTGCCTCAAAAATGCAACAGAAGATGGCTCAAATGCCAGGGCCCTCCACCCATATGGAAGACACAGAAGAAGCTCCTGGCTTCAGCTTGGCCTAGTCCTGGCCTTTGTAGCCATGTGGGAGTGAACCAGCAGATGGAAGATCGATTTCTCCTCTTTCTCTCTCCCTCTCTCTTTATCCTTCCCTCTCTCTCCCAATCTGTAACTTGGACTTTCAAATAAATAAAATTAAACCAAAAAGAAAAGAAGGGAATGTAATCAGTCACCTGGGCTATGGAGGGTCACACCTAGGTAGCAAACACACACAGCACTGCTAAGGAGGGTGAACACCTACACAGTCATTCATATGTTTGCCTTTCATTTGTAAATACTACTACCACTCTAAGAGCTCCAGGACTTCCTTCTTCTTACCATACCAAATGCTAAATTTATTTTTCAAAAAATACATTATATATTCATTTCCATAAATTTTACATCAGAAGAAAAATAAAAGCTGATCCTAACAAATGATATATTAACTCAAGTACTTAAGACAAAAACAATGTGTCCTATCAGGCTGCACACAAACTAATACAGAGATAGATGTACAGAAGTATAAAAAAGCAAGCATATTAAAGTTATGTAGTCCTAGGAGGTAGGTACAACTGCGTTCACTGTAAAAAATATTTTAAGTTTGTTTATGTCTGAAATATTTACAAAAATGCTAAGAACATTTATTTTGAATACTTTCATATTTATAACAAGTAAAATGAAGTACAAATCTACAACTTTAATGTTTTTACGTTAACTACAGTGAAATCGAGAAATATCTCAAAAAATATAGTGTACAGTTTCAATCCAGTTGAAAATGTAGAGCTTGATATTTCTTAATTACTACAGGAGTAAAACACACCTGGTACTTAAGACAGTAGGGTTTAGGGCTTTGGTCTTGTTTTCAACCACAGTGACAGACAAAAAAGAGAGTTTTTGCCACTCCTCAAATAACCAGTCAGGGCTGGCCTAGGTTGAAGCAAGGAATGTAATTTGGTTCTCCCACTTGGATGGCTTGGACCCAAGTACATAAACCACCATCATCTGCTGCTTTCCCTAGGTGCTCATCTGCAAGAAGCTAGATTTGAAAGCAGAGCTAACACTTGAACCTGAACACTGCAAGACAGCAGCTTATCCACTGCACAAAACACCTGTTAAAGACATGCAGCTAAACAGTGATCTGAGCACAAGCTTTGACTTTTGGAAAAAAAGGTTTCTTCCTCAATGACAATAACTTCCTCTAACACTTTTCTTTGACAGTCATTCTTTTCTGGGTTACCCCAGATCCTAACAGGTCCAAAAAATGTGTCCTGCCACACTAGACAACTTATCAAAATGTAAAGAGAATTACAAAAATAATTTCCTATTTCTTCTTAAGAGATTTTAACCTTTACAGGAGTTGTGGGTAGAAGAAAATCACTCAACAACTTACAGACTTTTTGGAAAACACTGGGTGTATTCTATGTTTGGGTGGATGAGCTAACACGTCTCACAGGTGATCCACCCAACAGATTTATTAAATAAATAAAATTATTATAAATAAAAGCTTTTACTGTAGAATAAAGGTGTCAGGATGACAGCCACTGATAGAACAGGTTCCTCCAGTCCTCTCCGGAAATAACAATGAAGACAACAAACAAAAAATTTAGAACTTTCTCACCACTACAAGGGAGAAGAAATCCTCCATTACAGTTAAGTTATGAAAATCCACTTCATGAAATTTTCACTTTAATCATTTTGCACTGTTTTTCCTCTCTCGTAACAAATTGTATTAATACACAAAGAAAACTAAGCTGACAGCCAAAAACCAACTCACCTTCACGAACCCCTCTCAATGTGACGTCAGAGAATCCACTTGTCAGTGTTCCAGACCCCCAAGAGTCCAAGCTTTCAAAAGTATTGTCTCTCTTTGGAGTGCCAGGAAGGTCAGGGAATTCCACACGCTCAGGATACCAGAAGTCACTGCAGACACTGCTCCTGCGGCTCCTGGCCAGGCAGCTGGGGTCTTCAAGTGCCTGAAGAAAATAAATTAAAACCACACACAAATACAGCAGTCAGTATAATGTACCCACAATGTCATGGGTTATTACTTGTCTGCACAGCATAAGGCACATTTCATCCAATAAGCGAGGCGATCTGAGTTCGTTCCAAAACCCGATAGAAAGGTTTCAAGTAACAGAAAAATGAACCTGCAAATAACAGAAGGTTTACAATATCAAATGTAACAATGAAATATTATGTATAGAATATGGAAAGGTTTATTTAAATAGAGGAAATGAATCCAGTGTGGTGTCCCAGCTGATTAAAGTCCTGCCTACCAGTCAGCATCCCTCACTGGAGCTGCTCCACTAAAGAACCTGGGATTACTAACAATCCAGTGTAAAATACGAGCCCTGACTGAACCATGACTCTGCTAAAAGAGCTATGAAAAACACAGCCTCAAATGGGGGATTTTTTAATATGGCCTACGCATTAAATAATAGGCGATATTTCCAAGTCTGCTTAAGTAAGCTACCAGAAGCTTATTCCTACTCTTAGGAGATATTTTTTGCACATTTAGGGGTGAGGAAACATATCTTCAGTATACCTTAAAATGGTAGCATAAATACAAATAGATTGATAAATACATAATATGGGAAAGTACATAATGGGAATCTTTGAGTCAGATGGTAGAAATTTAGGCATTTGTTGTACTGTTCTCCCAACTTTGAATTATGAGTATTTTTGAAATATGAAAACTATATTTACAGTGAATAATTAGCACCTAAATCAGGCACATTTCTAACGCTGAATCTCTCAATACATGGTTCAACTGTTGACAAGAGTTTGATGCACAAATAAGGTCTACTAGATTCAAGTGAGATTTCTTATACTTCTAATGCCAGGCACCTTGGTATGAGAGTTGACATCTTGTCATGAACATGTCAGCACCTTCCTGACATCCTGATACTTCCAAGCAGATGGGGAAACTAGGCCTAGTGCTGGTATCACAAAAAATATATCTCAAAATAGAAGATTTTATAAATTCCAGTAAATCTCAGAACTGTAAGGTTTCTTAGACATGTACTTGTTGAAGTTTTACAGTTCAATGCCCAGAGGGATGATCTTTGACTTCATAAATCTACTGAGTAATGACAGGTCAGCTCAGTTAAAAGATAACCTCAGTAGGCCCTGCTGCCTGGCCTTTAAGGAAATCTTCACCCTGACAAGTCACCCAGATTGAGTCACCTCCAACTTGCAAGATGACTCAGGCACAATCACATACGTTGCTTTTTTTATTTAGCTGATTATTTTGGATTGTTTATTAATCATTATCTAGTTAAACAGGGGAGGAGGGAAATGTGATGAACATACGACCTGAACAGAACTGGTACAAGACACAGGTTCGCATGCTTCTCACTTTATAACCAGAAGAGAACTACAAATATATATATGATTCTCTTCATCTTCCTTTACATGTTTATTTGAAATACAAAATGACAGAGTAAGAAACTGGGGAGGGAGGGACATAGCCAGAGAGGGAGGGACAAGGGAGGAGGGAGAAGGGAAGGAGAGGAGGGAATGGAAGAGAAATCTATCTGTGGTTCCACTCCCTAAATGGTCAAACAGGAAAGGCAAAACCAGGAGCCAAGAATGCCATCCAGGTTTCCCACATGGATGACAGTGGGCCTGAACCCACTGCCTTCTTAGGAGCATAAGTGGGAAGAAGCAAAGAAGCCAAGCCTCAAACTGGCACACTGATTTGGGATGCATTGCCTTAACCTGACTTGCTGCACCACAATGCTGGCCCCATTATATATGGCTCTACATACCAGAAACTCTCAGTGCACTCCAATTTTAACAATGGTGACAGGAAATGGGCTTTAAGGAGGCAGTCCTGGTATTAAACATTATACCAGGCTTATTCCGAGTCAAACGGTCATAAAAATGACCCAGGACTATAAAGAGAGTACCAGTACATAATCCAAAGTCCCAGGTGGACTTTCACTGACTATTTTCCTAGATGTAGCAACCATAAGGCACAGCTATCTATGGACCCAGAATCCTGTGAAATTCCTTCCCAGTGCCTCACCCTTCATGGCAGGGGCTGATCTGCTCAGCTGTTCTACACAACTGAGCTCTGTAAGGTTGAGTCATTTGCTCTGCTTTCCAAACATCTACCACAACATGTGTGCACATCAATATCACAATTATGAGCTGCCTTCACTGATTCAAGAGATCTGAATAGCATGTTAATAACTCCCAGCAATTTAAAAAGAAAGGAATACCTTAACTTCCTATCATCCAAACGCCTGTCTTTTAGTATGTGTAGCTGGATTCAGAAAATCGATTTTAAAAAATTAAGATAGATGTAAGGTAAAGTGGTTTTCTTCCCACTGGCATAAAACTTCCATCTCCCAATCATGGTAACTACCATTTATTACATCCTGATGTTGCACCAAGGTAATGCCAGCAATGACTTATTAGCATATTGTAATATAATCACTATAAAAACCATATACAAAAACTACAATCAATTAGACATTTCTCTCCTGAGCCCTGCAAATGCTCTCTAAGTAAGAAACCCCACAGAGGACTTCATTTATCAGTGCAAAATAGGAGAACTAAGCTCCGACAGAACAATGGTCAGTCTGTCGCTCAGCTTTACTCTGAGAGTCTGTAAGTATTCAAAAGCCTGCTACACTGATTCCAGGACATGAGGGGCTAGAAATGTGTCCAAAATAAAGCACTCAACTTAGCTGGGCAACCTACGCTTTGCATTTGCTGCTGATCAAGATACAGAGAGCAGGGTAGAATTAGATTTTAGAATGGAAACTGAGTTGATGTTCATAGATTTCCAACACTGGAACTACCTCTCAACTCCAGGTTGAATTTTTGAGTAGGGAAAAATATAAATTGTACAGAATACTGAAAGAACAAAGCAAAGACAGAGTGGCCTGTTAAAGAAAAACAAGAAAAGGAACAAGAGGAAAAAAGGGAAAGAGGATGAAAAAGTCTTAGTGGGCCTGGTGCAACAACCTAGTGGCTAAATCCTTGCATTGCAACCACCAGGATTCCAATGAGCATCAGTTCATATCCTGACTGCTCTACTTCCCATCCAGCCCCCTGCTTATGGCCTGGGAAAGCAGTAGAGCATGGCCTAACGCACTAGGACCCTACACCTGTATGGGAGACCCAGCAGAGGCTCCTGGCTTCAGATTGGCTCAGCTCCGGTCCCACATTGGGAGTGAACCAGCAGATGGAAGATCTTTTTCTTTCTCCCTCTCGCTACAAATCTGCCTTTCCAGTCATAAATAAAATAAATCTTGAGGAAAAAAGAAAAAGTGGAAACAGTCATTTCACACAGATGTCATGTTCTTACCTTAGTTAGAGCTTGTCCTAAAAGATTTTCAAATGCTTTCAAATTCAGATAGGGCCCATTATAGTAGGGGTTACTTTGTGCCTTTCTTCCCAGCCAGTACAACGTTATCAAAACCTTCATTTGAAATAAAAAGAATCCATAAAGAACAAAATCAGTCCATTTAGTGACCACTTGCAAGCTTAAATTCAGATGACTATAAGGGAAAGATGACAACCATATATCACCGTACAATGAAAACCAGGAATTCCTTTACACTTCATGGGAAGGGAAAGAGTCATTAAAAATCTTACTTCTGAGATTTCTCTATCCCTAAACACAATCTCAGATCAAAAGCTCAGGTCCCAAAAGACATGCAGACACTCAGAATGTGCGAAAAAAGCAAAATAACTTTCTAGGAAAACATGGATGAACATTTTAAAATCAATCTCTTCTGCAACAAACTCACAGAATACACACTTGAAGTTTCTGCTTCCTTAAGGAGGATATTAATATTTTACACAGTTGTCACATTTGTAGACAGTATTCTAATACATGCAGAATATTAATAACATCGTGTGAGCCTCCATGAAGCAACCATTGAGAGTCCTTAAACACTCAGTAGTTTCATTTAAGCCTGCTTCAGTGGTTTTACTTTTTCCTCTAAAAATTATAGTGTTTATTTGCCTTTAGCACATTAGCAATACCTAAGAAAACTTCAAAAAGTTCCTTCAAAAAATCTGATGGATATGAAAGTAAAATATAAATTATATTGAATGCAAAAACTTTAAAAAATCTATCCATAGTTTTTTCAAAGCATGTATGTTATGTGAACTTTTAAAAGACGCTATGTAAGATTTTTTAAATCTGCAGCAAAATCAAGTACCCTCATGTGCCCGATTCCTAAATTTAACTTCTTATTTTATACCAATAATGCCAGAAAGTATGTTTTGAATATACACTAGAATAAAGACATCTGAAAGTATTTAGCATCTGTGACTAGCTGGGGGTTTTTTTTGTTTGTTTGGTTTTGGTTTTTTTGGCAAATTGTGATGGAAAAAAATGATACAGAATATATTTTTATAATGATTCATTGAAGTAAAGAGCTTACATTTTTCACCCTCCTATCGGTCTCTTCTTGCCTGTAAAACAAAGAAAATATCCATTAGCATCCATACACCCTAAATTATTCATAATTAAGAAAAATATTTCATTATTGTTCTTAACTTCACTGTTAAAACATACATTTTAATTTACTCCCATACAGGGTAATATTTATGGAACACAAAAAGGTAACAGTATTCTACATAACACAGACAGAATGTGCTTCTAATTCCACACTTACATATGGTCTACGGGAATTCAAAGACGCCATAAGCCTGTATCGCACGGCTTTGAAAATAGCATTTTAGCCAAGTATGTTTGTAATGTAAGATATACACAAATACATAACCAATATATGCATGGAAGACACATATACACAAAACACAAATACAGCCTACACAAAACACATACTTACATATACAGAAAAAAATCAAAAGGAGAGTAGGAGTATAGAGATAAATATTTAAAGTCACTTTCAATGAATCCACAGAATAAGCATGAACCAAAATGAACCTAAAAATACTATGTACCTCCCACCCATTTCAAAAACAAAGCATTTCACAGTAAAAAATTTATAAACTTTCCTACTGCTAGTGGAAAGACCAACTGGAAAAATATTTTAAATATGGGCTCTTATCTACTCAAACGTTTAACCCAATTGCTGTTATCTATTCAACTAAATATATCTATTTTCTGTGACTTGGTAATTCTATTCCTAGGTGCACAGCCAACAAAAGTGCTCATGCTTGTTCCACAAAAGTCATATGCAACAATGTTTATGTGAGATCACTGCCCCGAAGAGCAAACTGGAAGACGCACATGCTTTTAATTGTAGCACAGATAAGTTATGCCACGATGAAGCATCACATGGCAGTGAGAAAACAGTAACGCAACGATATTCAACCACATGGTTCAGGATCACAAGCAGTGGACAAAATGGCCAGATACAGAATACAGATTATATTGTTTCATTCAGATAAAATACCAAACCAAAATATGTTATTAGAAGTCAGTAAAGTTCTCCTTCTGAGAGAAAATGATAGAATGGCTCAACAGGCATATGGCATATGAAATGCTGACAATGCACACATTTTAAAAAATTATTTTATTTATTTGTGAGGCCAAGAGAGACACAGAGACTGTCATCTGCTGGTTCACTCCCTAAACACCTGTAATGGCTAAGTGTCAGTCCATGTGAAGCCAGGAGCCAGAAACTCTGTCTGGGCCACCCACAAGCATGTCAGGGATCCACCTAACTGATCTAGCACCACTGTCTCCATGGACACACACTATCATAAAGCTGGGGTAGGAGATGGAGACAGAACTAGAACCTAGGCCCTCTGATACGGGATGCACATGGTCCTAGTGGTGTATCCTAGATGTTACCTAACCCTTGGACCATTTCTGTACCCTGACTATTTATAGTTTGATCTGGAAGCTTACTACCTGGGAATATTAGCTTTCTGGAAAATACCTTTGATATTGTACATTTATAACATATGCTTTTCTGTATGTGTATATATATATATATAACAATTCTGTAAGAAGTAAACAGAATGCTTCAACATTTACTTTTTATGCGTGAAACTGTCATTTTGTTTCAATTATTGTTAATAGGTGCCACCTATATGCCCAGGAAATTTTTTCTTTATTTTTACTTGTTAAACTTCTTATTCCGTGCAGTATTAAGACTTTTTACTATAATTTAAATTTAAAACATGTTGCCTCAATAGCTAAAAATATAAGGAAAGGGAGAGTAAAGAAAAGGAATGAGAGTGGAAGGGAGAGAAGGAGAACCAATGAGAAAGGAAGGAAAGAAGGGAATGTTACTGTATTCTTAGAATTGTATCTATGAACTGTGTTTAAATTTTTTTTTTAGAGAAAAGAAAAAAATAGGGGCCTGCTCTGGGCTTAGGAGGTCAATGTACGGGCACAGCATCCCATAAGGGCCCCAGTTTGAGTCCTGGCTGCTCCATTTCAAATCCAGCTCACTGCTGATGCGCCTGAGAAAGCAGCAAAAAAAGACCCAACTGCTTGGGCTACTGCATCCAGCTGACAGAACCAAACACAGCTCCTGTCCTCAGGCCTGCTTCGTTCAGGCTATTACAGCCATTTTGAGAATGAACAGCAGATAGAAGAGTTCACTCTGTAACTTTGCCCTTTCCATTATTTAAATACATATTTTAATCAAGGAAAAAATTCAAAATATTTCAGGAGAAAGGTTGAAAAAAATAAACAGAATACACTTCACCACTCAAGCACACGAATCACAGCTTACCTACCCCAATAAAAACAAAATCACAAAATTAATGGCACTTTATTTCAGTAGTAGTAAGTGGAGAAACTCACTATAAACCGATTTTTAAAAAATCAAGAGCACTGTAAACTTATTACCTCTTTAGACTGATGACCAACATACACACTTCAATAATTGTTAGCCAAAGCACAAAAGAACCATCAGTACCCAATGTAAGTGATGTACTGGATTCACAAGTCATCCTGCTCTTCACATAAGTACATTCTAAGCAGAAGGAGAAATGGAGCTCTCTTGAACCCTGACCTCCATTTCACTGCCCTCAATAAAGGTTGACAATCCAGCACACTCATTTGCTTTTTACTTTTTATCAAACTATGCTGTGATAAACATGTACAATGAGCATGACCTTGGCATTATTACCTTTCACTCAATTCACATTCTCTTCTATGAGCATTTACAACATACCCTGGAACACAATGATACACAGCCAGTGTAATTAGTATCCTGCCACTGAAATGTAATGATACGAATTCAAATAGTCGAGGATTTGCTCGAGCAAGGAGTTCTTCCTCTGATACAGAGCAAATCATCCTATTGCTTGAAGTCACAACCAGGTAGTTTTCTTGCCTACAAAGACCACACAGCACAACCCAATGCTTTGAAACAGAACATGGGATTAAGGGAAATTTAGGGCAACACGACTGTTTGTGCACCGATCATGCTGCAGCACAACCTTCAGAATCAACAACGAGTCAACCCCATCGCCAACACTGAGTCACTTCTAACAAATGCCTCTGCCATTGACAGGGTTTATATTAAGGCTTGGGAACAGATCTGGCCCTCAATGACTGTGTATGTGTGCAACTTATCTAACTCCCAAAGCTTCAGCTTTGTTCTGCACAGACTGGGGATAATATTCCCCATCTCAATGGAGGAACCGGAATTGTGTCTGCCCCTAGCTTCATGGCGAAGTGCTCAGCACAAATAGAAGGCATGCTGTGACAGCAGGGCAGCTTATTTACTCCACATACAAACACTCCCCAAAGAAAGCCCTGCTGGAACCGCACTATTTTAAATTGCAACCAGCCCACCTGATACTCTACCTGTCTCTCATTTCTGCTTTGTTTTTGCATTTGTAACTATCAATAATATGCATTTATTCTTTGTCTCTATCCTCCAGAATCCAATAGAACTTTATGGTTTTGTTTACTGTCATATTCTAAGTAGCTTAGGACAAGGTGTATCACTTGGCAAGCACATACAAATGCTTATTTAAAATATTCAGGACAGTGCATGGCACACAAGTGCTCTCAAACAATGGTTGAATACTTTTAACTTTTAGAAATAAAAATTAAGAAGAAAAAACACAGAATGATAAAAGTTCAGTATATCCTTTATAAATATTGATGATGTCAAAGCGAACAATTAAGTTACATTAGTTTTCTTAAAATACATCCCATGAGCTGGCATGTTTTCAGCACAGCAGTCAAAACATTGCTTAGGACTCGCCCTAAACTATGTCAGGATGTCTAACCTGAGCACCATCTCCTCTGCTTCCAATCTCGCTTCCTGTGCATGCGCGTCCCAGGGGAGAGCAGGCGATGATTCACGTACCAGGATTCTGCCTGGCCAGCAGAGACCTGAGTTCCAGACTCCTTGATTTAGCGTTACTGAACCTAGGCTTTTGGGGCATAGACAGTAATAACAGCAATCAATCAGTCTCTCTCCTCTAACTTTCTTTTTTTTAAATATGATTCCTTGGGCCAGTACCATGGCATTGTCAGCGAATCCTTCACCTGCAGTGCCAGCATCTAATATAGATGCCATTTTTTGTGTCTCAGCTGCTCCATTCCTGATTCAGATCACTGTTTATGGCCTGGTTACACAGTGAAGGATGATCCAAGTTCTTGGACCCCTGCACTCAAATGGGAGAATCAAAAAAGCTCCTGGCTTTGGATCAGCTCAGCTCCAGTCACTGCAACCACTCAGGAAGTAAGTGAGCAGGTAGAAGATTTCTCTCTCTCACACCTTCTTTCTGTAACTCTGCCTTCAAAAAAAAATAAAAATTTAAAAAAAAAACTGAAAAAGGGCGTGGCCTGGTAGCCTAGTGGCTCAAGCGCTTGCCTTGCATGTGCTGGGATCCCATACGAATGCTGGTTCTAATCCCAGCGGCCCTGCTTCCCATCCAGCCCCCTGCTTCTGACCTGGGGAAGCAGTCGAGGATGGCGCAAGGCCTTGGGACCCTGCACCAGCATGGGAGGGAGACTCAGAGCAAGCTCCTGACTGCTGGCTTCAGATTCGCTCAGCTCCAGCCATTGTGACTACTTCTGGAGTGAATCAGCAGATGAAAAAATCTTTCTGTCTCTCTTCTCTGTATATCTGACGTTCCAATTAAAAAAAAATAAATCTTTTTTAAAACCTGAAAAATATGATTCCCAATGCAGAATTCAGTTTTGAATCAAACTATATTGGTTCTTGCTTTTTAAAGTACATCTTTAAATTTATGACAGTGATGGATATCTGAAATTTCAGAGAGTGAGCTGAATACGTGGATAGCTTCTCACATTGCTTGGATTACAAGCAAACTCTAAAATATCACCTTTCTCATGAAAGAAACACAAGTAGAACTTAGGTGGAATCCCTTCAGTTCAATGGACCACCTCTGGTCACTCCCTTACTACCTCACAAGGGGCTAAAGTTTTTAAAAAGTTATACTTTGGTGAAAAATTTTTGTAAACCATGTAGCTTAGCATCCCACATATATCCTGCAAACTTTCTGAA